AAAAAACAATAAATTGTTCATACTGAAAATCTACAAAATTAAAATATTCGTAGTGGCATATGCCATAATAAATAGAGATATATTTTCTGCGTAAACTTGTGTGCGTAAACTTGTGTGTTTACTTTATTCTTTGTTTGCTCGGAATTATTCATAAAATGGCAGACCTATTTAATCATTTTATTAAAAACAAATAATTGTTTTATGTTCGACCTTCTCCGGTCTTCAACGGTCACCAGTTTCCAAAGACCTTCTTTTATATTGATCGATTATTGTCAACAGTATATTCCTGATACAAACGTTTATTTACCCCCCCCCCACAAACAATGATGAAAATAGTTCAATGAAATATCTTTATATCATTAAAAATGTTCCCCGCAGGAAACCATTTTACTTGTGCTTTACTTACTTGAGTATAATTGAAGGTATTGTAGCATTGTAAAGATAACACTTTTGCCGATCGCTGCCGTGATCAATGGGCAAGTTGTGCCAGACACAGCGAGTGTTCTTACATCGTGTAGTAATGGTGGTTCCGGGTTCAATGTCAGTATACTTACGTGTCGCATTGAAGGTTCCCTGATAACTGACATGCACACATCTGCGAATATTCAATATTGTACAAGTTCATTTATGCTTAAGCCGTTGCTAAGGGGCGTAGCCGGTAGTTTCCACTTGACAGAACCGTCCATGAACATGCTTAATCAAACCAAGCCTGCAACAATTTCAATTTTGCCGTGTTAAGCTTTCCTTAGGAATTATTTTCTCTATCTAATACCTGTTTTAAACGTTTAAATCTACATTTCGATATCCTTTATTGTGTTTATGACATTTAATACAATACAATTACACACATTATAACCTACTTGTTATGCTCCAAGAACGGGAACATAACTTGAAAACTCTTGGACATAATTTGTTTAAACTGCACACAGTGGTAGAGGGCACTGAGGCAAAGTGCAGTGCCTAAGAACCACAAATGTCCCGTTTTTAAAATTATTTCCCCTTTTAGAAAAAAAATGTCCGTGGCATTCCTCTGAAACTACAAGAAATATAAACATAAAAACTTTGTTGGAAGATAAATCTCATTGGGTAGATGTGCAGTGCAGAAGAACCGTTACACTGTTTTGCCTAATTTTGGAGTTATTGCCCATTGTTCATTTTTACACCTTTAACTTTGTCCGGGACATAACTCTGAAACTGCAAGAGATATTAACATAAAAATTTGTAGGTAGATAGATCTCATGAAATAGAAGTGCAATTTGAAAAGCTCTGCTGGAGTTATTGCCTTTTTCACATTTTACACTGTGAACTTTGTGCGGGACATTACTGAAAAAATAAAGAGGTATCAACAAGAAAGTTTCACAAAAGGAAGTTTCAAAAGATCACATTTCAGCAGACGACACGATATTTAAACGAGACAAAACATGACACCATACAGATAAGTACAGTATACGAATACTTATACCGAAGGTTGAATAAATAGCCTTACTGTTGTAATTGTTCTCTGTAAATGACTTGCCATGTAAATACTGCTGTTTTAAGCTCACCTGAGCACGTCCGTCGTACGTCGTCCGTTGTCCGTTCACACTTTTCAAACGACATCTCCTGTGAAACCATAAGGCAGATCATAATGAAACTTCACAGGGATGTTCCTTGTGTAAAGCCTTAACAAAGTTGTTCAAAGAATTCCATTCCATGCAGAACTCTGGTTGCCATGGCAACCAAAAGACAAAACTTAAAAACATCTTCTTCTAGAAAATTTGGCATGAAACATCTTCTAGTGAATGTCTACCAAGATTGTTAAAAAAAATCTTCTTCTAAAAAACCCAAAGAGCTAGAACTTAGATATTTGGTATGAAACATGTTCTAATGGATGTCTACCAAGTTTGTTCAAATAAAAGCCCTGGGGTCAAAATTGGCCCCGCCCCAGAGAGTCTTTGATTTTCCCTATATGCATATAGTAAAAACTTTAAAAAAAACTTCTTTTAAAGAACCCTAAGAGCTAGACCTAAGATATTAAGCATGAACTATCTTCTAATGAGTGTCTACCAAGATTGTTCAAATAAAAGCCCTGGGGCCAAAATTGGCCCCGCCCCAGGGGGTCATTGATTTTCCCTATATGCATATAGTAAAAGCTTAAAAAAATTTCTTTTACAGAACCCAAAAAGCTAGAGCTATGATATTTAGCATGAAACATGTTCTAATGGGTGTCTACCAAGTTTGTTCAAATAAAAGCCCTGGGGTCAAAATTGGCCCCGCCCCAGAGAGTCTTTGATTTTCCCTATATGCATAAAGTAAAAACTTTAAAAAATCTTCTTTTAAAGAACCAAAAGAGCTAGACCTAAGATATTAAGCATGAAATATCTTCTAATGAGTGTCTACCAAGATTATTCAAATAAAAGCCCCGGGGTCAAAATTGGCCCCGCTCCAGGGGGTCATTGATTTTCCCTATATGTATATAGTAAAAACTTAAAAAAATTTCTTCTAAAAAACCCAAAGAGCTAGATCTTAGATATTTGGCATGAAACATGTTCTAATGGATGTCTACCAAGCTTGTTCAAATAAAAGCCCTGGGGTCAAAATTGGCCCCGCCCCAGGGGGTCATTGATTTTCCCTATATGCATATAGTAAAAACTTAAAAAAAATTCTTTTAAAGAACACAAAGAGCTAGAGCTAAGATATTTAGCATGAAACATGTTCTAATGAGTGTCTACCAAGATTGTTCAAATAAAAGCCCTGGGGTCAAAATTGGCCCCGCCCCAGGGGTCTTTGATTTTCCCTATATGCATATAGTAAAAACTTAAAAAAAATCTTCTTTTAAAGAACCCAAAGAGCTAGAGCTAAGATATTTAGCATGACACATCTTCTAATGAGTGTCTACCAAATTTGTTCAAATAAAAGCCCTTGAGTCAAAATTGGCCCCGCCCTAGGGGTCATTGATTTTCCCTATATACATAGAGTAAAAACTTAAAAAACTTTATTAAAGAACCCAAAGAGCAAGAGCTGAGATATCTGGCATGAAACATGTTCTAATGGATGTTTACCAGGTTTGTTAATAAAAGCCCTTGGGTCAAAATTGGCCCCGCCCTAGGGGGTCATTGATTTTCCCTATATTGCATATAGTAATTAAAAACTTAAAAATCTTCTTTTAAAGAACCCAAAGAGCTAGAGCTAAGATATTTAGCATGAAGCATGTTCTAATGGGTGTCTACCAAGTTTGTTCAAATAAAAGCCCTTGGGTTCCCCCTTGGCCCTGCCAGGGGGAAGGGGGCAAAAATCATTATTTTTCATTTTTTGTGTATAGTAAAAACTTAACATCATGAAACATCTTCTAATGGGTGTCTTCCAAGCTTGTTCAAATAAAAGCCCTTTGGTTTAAACTGGCCCCGCCTTCGGGGCCTATGTTCAGGTGAGTGACCCCAGGACCATCATGGCCCTCTTGTTTAAAATCTTCATGGTTTATTTACCTCATTTTTGTATCATGTATGATGCACTGAGAGAAATAAAGAATTTGAATTATAATAATCTTTATATTACATGATAAGTCTCTATATTGCATGGTTAAGGATTTCTTATTTTCGCCCTCACTCTCCCTCATGTTCGCCCGAAAATAAAACAATAATTTTCTATACTTGACTAGGAAAAAAAAAGACTATATCGTTTGCTACTTTATATTCTTTCAAAATTGTCAAACAATATTCTCATACAATGCATAATTTATTTTATCATGTTTAATTTTATAAAGACAAAATATAAAAACAAATTTTCAATCAACATAATTATAAAGATACTTGAGATATTTGACAGTTTCGTTTCAACATGAAGCAACAATCACACGAACCAGTTATGTTGCTAGTACAGAAGCAAACCTCGAATCAACAACTGCGCCGCGAAATAAGAAAGAGGGAAACGAAAACTATTTATCCCAAAGTTTTCCAAATACTACAAAGCAAAATAAATCAGAAAGTACTGAAACATTTAGTATGCTTGCCTATAAGAGGACATAACTCACTATTTTGTTCATAATAATTGCAAGTTAGAAAAGTGAATGAAAAGTCGTTCTATTTGTAGAAGTTAAATTGTCTGTACACGAAATAGACCAGTAAGCTATCTGAAAGCTGATAAAACTTTAACCTTTGCATGAGAAGAAAGCTATTGCAAAACGTTGAAAGTGAAGGTACGTAGTAAATTTAATAAAATTAAAAAAAAAAGTTTTAAATAATATTAATATATAAATAATTATCAAGACATTGCATTTATTACGTTTCATTATTTCATCTTGCTGAAAAGTATTTTTATTTTTAGTTTGTTAACTGATAATGCATTTGCAATTTCAGTTTAAATTTAATAAAACTGAAATAATACTTTTAATGGTAAATGGCTAATGCTCTTATATCAGATGCTCTTATATCCGTGAACTACATTTGCAAAGCCCGAAGACTAATTTAAAAGCCTGAGTCAACAGCGCGAGGGCTTCATCAAGTCCGAGGGCTTCCGCATATGTTAATGTAGTAAAAAGGTGCAATAGCAAACTATCGAATATATTCAAATATATTTTCGTTTGAGTTTATCAATCTCAATGAACTGTATCTTAAAGCAGCATGCCTCCAGAAGTGCCAGAACTATCAAGAAAATCAAATTTGAATTATTATACTAAGAGTTGATTTTTTAGAAGATGCATTACATTATTAATAATTAATGTTCTTTGTTATAAATTTCTGATTTTGCAGTATTTGTCGCCAATCTATACTGGGTGACTTGCGCAATAAATGTATATTTTGACCTCTTTTTAGTAATTTATTTGAATTGTGTCGGCTGCAATGTATAAATTACTTTCTTAGTTCATATCATATTTTTTTACTTTAACTTTCTAAATAAAAATCATTAAAATAAACATGAATCTGGAGGCATATTGCTTTAACATTTTGAAAACAAGAATATTATTTAAAATGTGGACACAAATATAAATGATATAATGTGGGTTATCTTTTTGTCGTAGCGCAATGAATTACATATGGATTACAGTCGCTGTTTTTCTCGTGTTGAGAGCAGAGGCAGCAACCGGGAAAACAAATGGTATATGTCATTCTTTATATTATTGTTTAAAAAAATCTGCATGCAATTGTCTTTTAAAGCGGCCTTCAGTTTTTTCTAAAGGTTAAATATGCGAGTTTTAGATAAATTGTTTCATACTATTGTCAAATCAAAAGAATTAAGGCCGAAAATGAAATAAACCGACGGTAAAATACATAAGGAACGATATAAACAAAAATGAAAATAGGCAAGGAAACCCCGTCATACCTCTAATCTACCGGTACGCTTTTTATATCTAAAAGCCGCTTTAAGGCATATATCTAACTGATTAAAATAAATTGAGTTCCTTTCAATACTCAATAGTGCTCATAAGGGGGAGGGTCATACCTTAAGCCCTCCTTTTGTAGGATTTAAGAAACATAGTACATTATCATCTTTTCTATCACTGTCATTATTATTATTATTATCAGCATTTCTTGCAATGTGATATATGTAGTTAACACATTATTTATTTAAGTTCAATTGCGTATGAAAACATGCTCTCGAGTCCGTTCCTGGAACCAACTAGTACCTACGAATAAATGTTTAGTTTCACAACCACTTGCAATTTACATGGTTTGAACCCACGCGGTTTGTGATTCTTAGATTCCTACATATTATCACTCTGCCAATAAATAGTTTTAGTCCATACTTTATATTGTATTGTTTACAAAATTAAAAAAGTTCTTTACTTATATATTATGCACTATTTTACATTTCAGCTAAAGTCAGTAGATTCCTTTATAGTCATCATGATAATCAGCCTGATTACCATAAAGTGGGTATGCTATATCAAAATATATTTGGCATATTTAGTATAACAAACAAACAAGTGTACATATTATTATCCCTCGCCGATGAAATCGGGAGAGGAATATTGTTTTGGCGTTGTCTGTCCGTCCTTCCATCCGTCCGAATTTGGTTTCCGCGCTAGTTCTCTACAACTCCTGGCTAGAATTCAATGAAACTTTATGAGAATCATCAATATCAAGAGAAGATGCACATATCGTCGGCATGTTTCAGTCAGACCTTTAACACAGAGTTATGGTCCTTGATTAGTTATGGATTATGCATATAGAGCAAAAATCGTTTCCGCGCTACTTCTCTACAACTACTAGCTGGAATTCAACGTAACTTTATAGGAATCATCGATATCAAAAGGAGATGCGCATAACGTCGGCTTGTTCTGGTCAGAGCCTTTAACTCACAGTTATGGCCTTTTATTAGTTATGCAGTATGCATATAGAGCAAAAATCGTTTTTGCGCTATTTCTCTGCAACTCCTGACCGGAATTCAACAAAACTTTATTGGAACCTTTAATACCAAGAGGAGATACGCATATCGTCAGCTTGTTCCGGTCAGACACTATTAATCAGAGTTATGGCCCTTGATTAGTTATACAGTATGCATATAGAACAATAATCGTTTCCGCGCTACTTCTCTGGAACTACTGGCTGGAATTCAACCAAACTTCATGGGAACCTTCAATACAAAGAGGAGATGCGCATATCGTTGCCTTGTTCCGGTCAGACACTTGAACTCAGAGTTATGGCCCTTGATTAGTTATGAAGTATGCATATAGGGCAAACTTTTTGGAACCTTAAAACCAAGAGGTAATGCGCATATCGCCTTGTTCAGGTCAGACGCTAACTCAGAGTTATGACCCTTGATTATGCAGTATGCATATAGAGCAATATTTTTTTCCACGCTACTTGTCTGCAACTACTGACTAGAATTCACTTAAACTTTATTGGAATCATTAATACTAAGATGAGATGTGCATAATTTGTTGCCTTGTTCAGACCAGACCCTTCATTACAGAATTATGGCCCTTGATAAGTTATGTAGTATACATATAGAGCAATATTGCTATTTCTTTGCAACTGCTGTATTGATTTCAACAAAACTTTATAAGAACCATGGACACAAAAAGGCAATTAACCTCTCATTGCCATGTCCAGATATTACTATTTAACATCGAGTTAATTAAGGCTCTTTTCTTGCCCTGAATATTTATTATGTACTAAAAATATTACTGTTTATGCCATGATAAATATATAAATAAAGCCTTACGTCTTCAGTTATTTTGTTAGTAATAACCAGTACTCGGCAGGGGGTATAAATTCAACGAATTTGCTTGTTTTCATCTGTAAACGTCTTTAACATCCATGTTCTTCTGTTAAGTACATCATGTAAGACTTATTACAATGACCTTAAAATTCCTATATTTAATTTTATCAAACACTTCAAAAACAATTCGGAAAAAAAAACAGAAAAAAAAAAACAAAACTGTTAGAAAGACTTTTTAAAGAATATTATTTCCAGTCCGTTTCCTGGAACAAACCAGTACTAGTATCTTATGAAGAAAGTTGCAAGAACTTGTTTACAAGTCGAGTTTAAATATGTTTAAACAAAAGAATATTATTGACACTTCCTTTCTTAACTTGTTCTTGCAGAATTTATACATTGCACTAAATTTAATGAAGTATAGATATGTTGTTTATTTCTTTATTAAGACCATTGTTCAAGACATCCGTGTCAAAACGGAGGAACTTGCGAAAATCACTCTTTGTACGCAACATGTAGGTGCACAGATGCTTACACAGGAAAACATTGTGAAACATGTATGCAATATTTCAATCTAGTTCTAGTATCATGCAATAATTAAAACGCTTTCGTTGTTTTTAACTTAGAGAATGACAATAAAAAAGATTATATTTGCATTAGCTATTCTAAACAATTTAAGTGCCTTACAAAAAAAATAAAAATAATAACAAACAAAAAAGACCATAGACAGAATACGCACTGCGCTGGATTCAGGTTTGTAATAGAAAAATCCAATTACATATGTTTCATTCAAGTAAATCAAAACTGTTCCTCTGTCTTAACGAACGGGGAAGAGAAAAGGTACTTAAAACAATTGTCGACATCTGTTTGTGTCGTGTATGTGTGTGTTGAATAGGGATAATGGAGGGTCAGGAACGGCGTTTTATGTGCGTGCGTGTGAAGAAACGGTTCATGATTTTAGCAAAATTTAATATGAATCCGATTTTTTCCAAAATAACAATTTATTCCTTTAATCGTTTGTATAAACGTTTAACAGAACAAATGCATTTACCAATGACTGACATATGCTGATTTAGTTACTGACTTGTTATGTTATTAAATATGATATTTTTAGTAAAAGACCACTGTGCAAGCCATCCCTGTCAACATGGTGGAACATGTCACAATGAGATGTCTTATCACCTTTTTTCGATGGCTCAATACAGATGCGAGTGTCAAACAGGCTGGATGGGTTTTAGCTGCGAAATCGGTACTATTTCATTTCTGTATAAAATTTTCTTACGGTGGCAAAGAGGTGACATTTGCATTTGCAGTATTCTTTTCCTATCTTGAGGTCACATCTTATTATCTTGAGGTGACTTCAAGATGTTGTCTTATCGCTACAACATAATAAGTTGTGGCAACAATATAAAATAATATTGCAAATGTCACCTCTTTGCCACCGTATTTTCTAGGATATCTGCTGTTTCTGTCCTAATAATCCTAGTGGTTGAACGTAATTTCAAAGTACTTATTCGAACTTATTATTGTTTTAAATATGTCAACATATTATTTTGCGACTTGCATTTCAATGACGAATTTCTGTCACAATCATCTTGTTTTGACGATTTTATTTCACTTGGAAATGATGTTAGGACATTCATACAAAAGACAATGCTATTCGAATGGTTGAGGCCATTTAAAAACTATTATAACATAATTATAAGATTTTGTTTTCGTTTTTTTTTTCGTCTTTTTTTCCTTTTCTTTTTTCTTTGATTGGTCCGAAATCGGCGGTCAATTCACCTTACCCGCCTTCTTGTTTAATTTATCAGTGGTTATCAATTTTATACGCGAGTGACTGACTAATAATGACATAAGCGAATCAAATGCAGAAGAAAAGAGTTAATTCCTGAATTTTGTCAATAATATTTAACGCTTATTAATAAATTCAATGTAAATAACATTTGTCTCATTCTTTGTTTTAATCATCGATAGTTGATCCCTGTTCAAACAATCCATGCCAAAATAGCGGTACATGCCATCATTCTTTACATCACCGACACGGATATTATTGCGCGTGCAGGACCGGATATGTTGGAGATTATTGTGAAACAGGTATTGATATATCCCTACCGAATAACAATTAAATTAACAACATTCACGTGTGCTTTTTTGTTAATAAATATGTTGTGGTGTATCAAATTATCTGATAATTATAGAATTAGACAGGTCAGGGATCAATGCTTTAACGGCTATAAACTTTCAAATAATTTTTGAAAAAAAATATATCAAAAGATAAAATTTCGTTATCGTTTATTCTGAAGATGTTAATTTCTAGTTCATTTAGTTGTCATTAAAAAAACTCACATTTTTCGCACTGTACCTCTGATCTGGCATGAACAGAAGTAACAGTTCCTTGCGAAAGTGAATGCAACTAGTACTAGTAAACAGCTTGACAGTTTGCACAGGAACGATGCGGTGGGTGAATTGTGCTCTGACAAATTCAATGTGGCTTACTACCGCAATCTGGAGTGAAAACTACCAACACAACCACCACCGCCCCACTGCATCGGCTAAAGCAGAGTAGTGACACTGTAGTATTAGAATCAAGGGCCAGAAGAATATATTGCAACACTAAGTCATGTTATTTTTTCTTACCACCTAGATGTTAGCACTACGTCAGATCCATGTGGAGACCAACCATGCAAAAATGGAGGTGGGTGTAAAAGCACAGGAGGTAGTTATGTGTGCACGTGCCCTCCTAATTGGTCAGGTACTAAGTGTGATACAGGTCAGTAACATTGTCCAATTAATGGAAATTATTTCCATCACGGAATTGCGTTCTTTATAAAATATTTATCATTTCTTATCATGACGAAATAAATAATGCAGTCCAACTTCCACATACAAGCACTTCTTGAAAATGTATATTTTGGCTGTTGCTGGAGTATTATGCACGTTTTAAGTTTTTTTCTTGGTATTTTACCAAGTGTTTTGTATAGTTGAGGTTGCATTGTAATTTATGAAACAGGATTAAATAAATCAATTGTTGGATTTTTTTTAATTAAAAAAAACAATTAAAACAATAAATATGTATTACATTTTGACAGAGTTCAAGATTATTTCAATCTTTTAGCATAGAACTTGCAAAATCACTTATATTGAAGAAAGTAACGCAGGAATTATAATAGTTTCGCTGATAGATGCAAAAAACAAGAATAAAGATCAACAAGGCAAAGGCAACGTTCACAGGACGCAGTCCCCGACACACAAGTAGGGCACCCAGAAGGAGAAGGCACCAAACAAAAACCTGGAAAGGACATAATGGTGAAAGGAGTTGGACATGTAATGTGAAATAAAACTAAACTATAAACTAAAGTCATGGACAAAAAAGAGCACCGCTGACAAATACATGTATATCTATAGTAATTCAAATTGGAAACAAGAGGGCCATGGTGGCCTCGAGTCGCTCACCAGAAACAACTGCTTTTTAGTGTTGGAATGTCAATATATTCTAATATTAAATTTGAGCATAGAATATGTTTAAACAATAATTTGAAGAAATGCCATGACCTGGGGCATTTAAGTTTTAGCTTAAATGGGGCTAATCAAATTAATATGAGCAAACTTGGTAAAGGACTTTCAAAGAATGCTACAAAGTTTTGTGATCATCTATCAATTATTTCAGTAGGAAATGATGTTCGAATGTTTTTTCTATTTTTAGCTTTAGTGGCCCCTTAAAGGGGCTAATCAAATTAATATAAGCAAACTTGATAAAAGACTACCCAAGAATATTTCAGACAACGTTTGGTGATCATCCATCATTTGGTTATGAAGTAGAAGATGTTTAAAGGTTTTTCTATTTTTAGCTTAAGCGGCCCCTAAAAGGGGCTAATCAAATTAATATGAACAAACATAATAAAAGACTACCCGATAATGCTAAAGACAAAGTTTGGTGATCATCCATCAATTAGTTCTGTAGAAATAAACGTTTAAATGTATATCTATTTTTAATTTTAGCGGCCCCTAAAAGGGACCAAGCAAAATAATATGAGCAAACTTGATAAAAGACTACCCAACAATGCTTCAGACAAAGTTTGGTGATCATCCATTCATCTAAGTTCTGTAGAAATAGACATTTAAAGGTAATTCTTTTTTTAATTGAAGCGGCCCCTAAAAGGGGTCAATCAAATTCATATGAGCAAACTTGATAAAAGACTACCCAAGAATGCTACAGACAATGTTTGGTGATCATCCATCAATTAGTTCTCTAGAAATAGACATTTAACAGAATTTCTATTTTTAGCTATAGAGACCCCTAAAAGGGGCTAATCAAATTAATATTAGCAATCTTGATAAAAGACTATCCAAGAATGCTACAGACAAAGTTTGGTGATCATCCATCAATTAGTTCTGTAGAAATAGACATTTAAAGGTTTTCTATTTTTAGCTTTAGCGGACCCTAAAAGGGGGCAATCAAATAATATGAGCAAACTTGATAAATGATTACCCAAAAATGCTACAAACAAAGTTTTGTGATCATCCATCCATTATTTCTGTAGAAGAAGATATCTAAAGGGTTTTCTATTTTTAGCCCTAGAAACCCCTAAAAGGGGCCAATCAAATTAATATGAGCAAACTTGATAAAAGACTACCCAAGAATGCTACAGATAAAGTTTGGTGATCATCCATCAATAAGTTCTGTAGAAGAAGATGTCTAAAGGTTTTTCTATTTTTAGCCCTAGAGACCCATAAAAGGGGCCAGCCAATCATATGAGCAAACTTGATAAAAGACTACCCAATAATGCTACAGATAAAGTTTGGTGATCATCCATCAATAAGTTCTGGAGAAGATGTTTAAATGTTTTCCTATTTTTAGCTCTGCTGATCCCTAAAAGTGGCCAATTGGAATGATATGAGCAAATTTCAGTGTGACTGTCATAAGGATGCTACAGACCAAATTTGAAGTAAATCTGCTTAGTAGTTTTAGAGAAGAAAACGATTGTTGACGCATGACGACGGACGATTGATGCTGGAGCATCCCCCTTTGATACTAATAGCTCAGGTGAGCTAAAAATGCAAAAGCGTACACTTCGTTTGCTAAAAAAAACACATATATTTTACACCGTATTGCAAATCTTTTCGAGAAGTGTTTGCTTGTGCGAAGTAGAAATATTTGTAATGCAGGTTAAAATTAAATGTCCTAGCTGCCGTATATTCTTCTTTCTATTTAGCTATAACTACCTCCTTCACGACAGAGCCTTCTCGCAGAATAAATATCATATTTTATTTCTTTAATAACTATTGTTTTGTTCCGATAAAAATCTTATTTGCATTATAGACCTAATATCTACATGAAACGTATTCGATTTTAATTTGGGTCTCTTTTAAATGTAAATAGGAGGATAAATCATCTCTTTCATGATCAAACGGTCCATTTAAACGCTAAATTTGCTGACTAGGAAACGCCCATACAACTGTATTTCAAACGTAATTTTATCATCTTTACGCTTTCTGGAAACTTTAATCAAATTTACATGGTATAGAATTCTCAGATTTCGATATTTGATGTTATGTTTACAAAATATATGAAAAAAGAAAACACTTTACCTTTTTTGACAGCTGATTCTAGCGACATTCACTAGCTTGGAAGTAGCGATAGAGCAATTTACCGTATAACTCAGAAAGAGGTAGCTCTATCATTTACCAGGCGTGCACTGAGTTTAATAGACTCGAAGTTACTTTTGAGTAATTCATATGTTATTCTATTATTCCGTTATTATATAAAACACATAGATAGAGAAAAACATTCAGAAAACAAAGTAGGGGTATATATACACGAGTCGGATTGTCGGTCGGTCAGCCTCATGGTTTCTGGACAAAATATGTGAACTAGAGTTCGGAATGAGTTATTGTAATAAAATTTGGTATATAGCAATGTTATGTGGAAACACCGGTTTGAATTGCATTTGGACGCCCTGCTGGTCAAGAGCACTGTTACTAAAAAAAAATAAATTCAGACGATAGCAAATCTTAGAAATGAGATATTGTAATCAAGCTTGGTATATATAGCAAGCTTATAAGAAGATCCTGGTTGAGATTTGACCTCCCAAGGTAACTTAACTAAAACTAAACTAAAAAAAGATTTTCGGACAATAAATGAGATATTGTAATCAAGCTTGGTATACATAGCAAACTTATATGTGGAAAACCAACAAAGATTGGTTTTGGTCCACCATGGGTCAAAGTCAAGGTGACTGATTTATTTATCTTCCAAGTTATAACCTAATTCGTCTTTGTCAGATATAAATGAGTGTGACAACACTGATCAGTGTAAAAATGGCGGGAATTGTACAAATACAGACGGGGCCTTCAGTTGTAACTGCAAAGATGGCTGGACAGGGACAGTGTGTGACAACGGTAATTGATATTTAGTATTTAATTTTGCTGATGTCTTTCATAAGATAATACCATTTAACACATAAACAACGGCGCAGGAATGTAATAAAGCCATTTAATAAAAACGATGTTACTCTAATGTAATAGAACTTTCACGTGACGTCATTTGTGTATTATATAAACAAATTGTTAAAGCGCACAAAATTAGCGTTACACCATTAAAGGCGCTTTTGAACAGGTCTTATTTTATAAATGTGACATATGATAGAATATAACATTCTTGTAGATTTGATACTAAATTTATTGAACAAGTTGACTAAAATCATATTATGCGAGCCACTGGCATATTCTGCACTCATTAATATCTTCTATTCATTATTAATGTTACTTCAAAATAGTTCACTAAATTCTGAAAATAGATCGATGAGGTTTCATAAATGCTGAAATATCAAATCAAAATCATGATATGGTTATACAGTTGGGATCAAGTCAATAATAATAAGTTACTTACCTGATTATTGTCTGTATTTGATAAAAAAATGTCTTCCACGCTAGAGAAAAACGTCTGGTCAGTTTCAAGCCAGTCAGTGTAAGACATGATGTAAATAGCATACCGACAATAACAAATACAAAAAGGTGTCTAATAAAAATATGCTAACCTTGAGAATGACCTTTTAGGTTGAGTGACACTGTTACACTGGCAATAAAACAATCATGCACATTAATATGATTGCAGCTATTTAAGCACAAAAAACAGGTCAAATATTTGAATTTAGAAATTAAATCCTATTATTTTATGCTTTTCAGTAGATTACTGATTTATCCGTGAAAATTATATTTGATAATTTCACAGTGAAATTTATCAAAATATAATTTCACACTTTTCAATTATGACGAAACTACTTTTTTAAAGATTTTTCCCATGTGGTACCTCAATTTTATTTTTGCTGACAATTCTGACAATGTCAGGCTGTTTAAAGAAAAAGCAAGGCTGAAATTGATAAATAATTTAAATGTTAAAAGTAATAAAAAGATGAAAACTTACTTCTATTCATTCGAATTCCAATCACCAAATTTCGTCTCTAAATTTATGTTTCATTTTTACAGTCTGAAAAATACATTCTTTCCACATGCAAAACTGCTCTTGATGACATTTGGGCATATTAAAGTATCCTACGAGCAATAACAGCCGAATGCTTTATGAAAAATTGAAAAGCAATTACAACCATCAGCTCGAAGAACAAGTAAACAACCAAGCGTTCCTGAGCCAGCTTCCAAGTTTTTCATTTTCCTAGCTGCTTTTTTAAAAATGTTTTCACATCTGTCAACACTAAGTTTTTGTCTGTTACAATCCTCAAATAAGTTTTCTTTCTTTTAAAAGGTGTATGACTAACAAATCCAAATGATATCCCTCTGAATCAAACACAATTATTTTCCTCCAGTGAAATACACAACTTCAAAAAATGGCTGCCGCTTACATTTAACAAAGCCAAGTCAAATATAAATTCGCAGTAAGTAACAGAAATATGGATTGATTGTTGGACTTTTTCTCCTACAAGACTCAACCGATCATTCATATTATTTTAATAAAATGAGTAAATCACCGTCATTTAAATAACGTTGATTGTCGGACTTATTTTTCAGCTCAAGACTTCTTGTTTTTTTATGAGAAATTCCGACTAAATGGGGCTCTCAATGGGGAAAACAGATTTTAATATTAACGTTAATATTATGGAAATTTCGTTTTAACTTGTTTTTAAGCATAAAATAAAAAGAAAAATTGTTTGTTTTTTGTGTAAGATGTAATTTTATTTCATCTCGTGAACTTTAAAAACAGTATGCTCACGAGTGGCGTAATACTGTTTTTAAATCCCACTCGATGAAATAAAATTTCATCATACACACAAACAAAAACCCTCAATATATCGTCCATGCTTTTATAATTGTTCTGTTATTCAGTTTTATATAAAATACAGTCATCCTGCTGAAATTCATTTCATTGACATTCTTCCGGCATCAACACAATTTTTCATCAGCATCAGCAGCACCAGTACCAGCAGCAGCAGCACCACCACCATCATCATCATCATCAGTGTAGTTGCATTTATATCAAAGAAAACAGAAATATAGTATTAATGTTTACATTCAACAACAACACCATCAATTACTTGAACAAGTACTGGATATATTTGATTTTCATTGTAGATATTGACGAATGCACGATGTACCACTTTTGTCAAAACAATGCCACGTGTTTAAATTTACCAGGTACCTTTCACTGCACATGCGCAACAGGATACAGTGGTGTACAGTGTGCTCATGGTAACATGTTTTTATATAATCAATTGATGAAAACAAACGCTTTTCTTTAGCTTTCGACTTTTTTCTTTTCTCACGTCTATAAAATAACAAATGACACAACGTCCGTTTAACAATAAGATAAATGAAACTTGACGTTAACGCGGATATAAAATATGATAAACAAGATCAACAAGAAAAGGCGGCGTTCAATGAACGTAACCCCCACATGATTCAGCAACAAGAACCAGCCGCAAGGAGCCCAGACGGACCCCAATGTTTATTGCTAAATGTTTGCCACATTGTTATGCCTATTTGCCTAAGTATTCTTCCGAGAAAATAGTAAAAACTTAGGTCGCACGGCCACAGTCATGACGTCTATTGAGTTACGCTCATGCCGATGCTAGGGGGCGTGAGGGATGTTGCACTTTTTCATTATTCCTCATGTACAGAATCAATCAAACCAAGTCTGTAATGTTCCTGCTAAATTGCTGTTTTTCATGATTTCAAGGGATCACATTTTCTAGATAAAGATGTATATCTATATATATTTCACAGAAGACGACCCGTGCATCCCTACTAACCCGTGTCAAAACGGTGCAACATGTAACAGAGACTCTTCCGGTCAGGCCACTTGCAGCTGTTTGCCAGGGTATTTTGGTGCTCTTTGTGATAAAGGTATGAAAGGCATTTATTTTGATATAGAGTGTTGGATGTTTAGACTGCGTCACTAGCGAAATTGTTGCCAAATAGCAGTAAAATATTGGCTAAATCATATACCTTACTGTAAATTTACTAAGTGTATACCCTCTTTGTGATACTCTAGACAAAATTAGAACTTGTATATGATTAAAAAAGCGACGGTGCTGAGGGTGTGGACGGTTAGATTAAATTTTCCGTACATGAACATGCTCAATCAAACCGAGCATGAACCATTTGAAATTAGGTATAGCAATCATTGTTTTACCATTTTCCATTTAAAAAATCTTCAATAATGAAACATTACATAGCCTTATGTTTAATATATATTTTCTTATCTCTGTGTTCATGTGTCCTAGTTGTATGTCGATCTTGCTTCCTCATAGCTTGTACTAGTTTTTTTTAAACATTACGGCACTGGAAATACTTTTAAGATACTTGTGTACATGTACCATTTGATTAAGGTCTTGATCAATAAGTTGTGCGCAAATATTTACAGATCATTCCCTCACCTGGTTTTCCAGATTAATATTTTTTTATGTACAACATTTACCAAAACTGAAACTCTTGAAACGTTTCTCACTCAAATCGGGCTGATGATAAAATATGATGAACAAGATCAACAAGGAAATAGAGTGAAATAAGAATCCTTAAAGAAAACCCAATGCGGCAAAATTGAAAATGTTGCAGGCTCGGTTTGATTAAGCCTGTTGTCAAGTGGAAACTACCGTCAACGCCCCCAGCACCGGCTTAAGCAGAATTCAACATTTAACATGAACTGGTAAAATTTGGAAGTTTAAACATCCGCAGATGTGTTCATATGGCGGTTATCTTGGAACATTCAACGTGACACGTTAGTGTCATTCCATGAAAAGCGGCATATGGTCCCCAAGTAAAAAAATGCGTGTGCCCTAAACGAGAAAACAATAGGCGGAACTAAATAAAATAGAATTTTAAAAGGGGGTCTGAGATTATGAAGCCTGCATATCACAGATATAACGTCAAAAGACAAATTTAAAAAGCAGGCCATATATCCTAAGAGTGATTCAACAGTATTAAAGTGAGGAATACTGGAACCACCCAGCAAGAAAGATGTCGAATAGATAGAACTAAAATACCACAAGCACAACAATAACGTAAGGCGGCGTTCAATGTACGCAACACCCACCCCACCAAGCAGCAAGTGCCAGTGGCAAGGATCCCAGGAGGACCCCAAACAAAAACAGGACAGGGCACAAGGCAGAGTACGACAGGCCAACCACTAAAATCATACATAAGAATGAGATCGTACAAAAGTCGATATTCATTTTAATTATGATTATTTTTCTTTTGTATCCGTTTTTTTAATCAATTTATTAAATGCTTCACTTGATCAATGCAGGAATTTCAAATTTAATGTTTTAGATTTTTTGACCTTAGTTGAGCTCTGTTAAAGTAAGTTAATATATGTATATATTATCCATATAGGTCAACCAAACACATGTGACCATATTTGCACTCTGCAGTCTTTGGCGTCGCAACATTCTCTCCAGAGTGCCAACGCCGCCACGTGTTCTAGTTCTTCATTTGGTTCGAACGAGGCGCTACCTATGCAATGCTGTTCAACACAGGCATCTAGTTCTTGGACCAAGGGCCCGGACGTAATGATAATTGCTTTTAAACATCTCCAATTACGCCTTAAAAAACGTAAAACGTTGCCCTGTTCATATAATTTCAGTGTTGTTATCAATTTCTGGTCTTTCATAAATATTAATTCCATGCAGATTAAATACAATTACAAACGGTGCTAAGGGGGCTTCATGCATTTTACAATGTTCCTTTATCCGCCTGAACAGACTCATTCAAACAGAGTGTTTATTTGTCTCGAGAGGAATCCAGATTAAAAACGTTTTCGCATACAGATCTTAACTTCAACACAAGGGGATAATTAGTTTTGTTGTGTTAAATATGTAATTTTCAACGTCCATTCGACATTCCATTTAATATTGCAATAATTATCAATGATATTTATAGGTCATGACGCAATGTAACAGTGGTGGCGCAGGATTTTCGGTATTTGTCTAAACTTTAGCATTCCATAATTATCAATGCTATTTATAGGTAATGACGCAATGTAACAGTGGAACTATGACACCATATACTACTGTAGCAATATTCAGACCCGATGGCACGGTCGAACCGGAAGCGGCTGGTATTCTTACAGAATGCCTCAGTGGTAGAGCAGGATTTTCGGTACTGGTTTATCCTTTCATATGAGCCGCGTCACGACAAAACCAACATAATGGGTTTGCGACAAGCATGGATCCAGACCAGCTGCGCATCCGCGATCAATGCTGTTTGGTTACAAACCCTATTAGAAGTAGAGAAACTGAAAGCGAACAGCATGGATCCTGATCAGACTGCGCGGATGCGCAGTCTGGTCTGGATCCATGCTGGTCGCAAACGCATTATGTTGCTTTTGTCGTGACGCGGCTCAAATGTATTTTTGCCAACATTTACAGAACTAAATCATTACATTCCAGAAGAAACAAACGCTATTCTAGGTGATATGTTTAAGATTTATGTTCAAGAGACCTCGATTATTAGTTCTCGCGATAAGTGGTCCAAAGTTGATACTACTACAGTAACTCCGCTATGGCTCCTATACCAGTAACTCCGCTGTGGTCCGCCTTGGCTACTTGCCACTGGTTCTTGTTGCAGGGTCGTATTGGGGTTGTGTTCATTGAACGCCGCCTTTCCTTGATGATCTTGTTTATCATATTTTCTTTCAAATTTGTTTTCTATTTCTTTTGTTTTAGATTGTTCGCCAAGATTGTACGTCCTTGCCAACCCTTATCCATGTCAACGGAACAGCTGTTGGTCAAGTTGACAACAACCCGAACCATTACTCAATCGTGTTGTGAAACAATTTTCATCTAACGCGTGTTGTGTAATGTTTGACTAAACTTGAGAATAAATTCAATCCCAAATTATTTGTTTTATTCTTATTCCTTTTGATAAATAGGTGAAACTTTAGTGTTCATATAGTGTGGTGTTTGAGTGAGGAAGCATTCCCAATTTCATACTGGTAATCAATTGAAACATGAGCTGATTAATTATGGCACATAGTGCCGCCTTAGAAATCTATTATTTTATACTTTAAGAAGTGTCAAACATGAGTTGAATGATCGGTTAAGTGCATGTTAGATGTTAAACGATAAAAAGAAGCGCTGAACGTGCATTTATGTGCCGTAAAAGGAAACAAAATGTAAACAATGTACCATGCAAAATACTAATTCACTTTATAACTATATCAATTGCCAACAGATCAAAAGATGCAAAAAAGTTCATGTATAAATAAAGTAAATAATTATTTTTAATTTTGGAAACCGTAACACGATACACAAAAATAAACTTTTTTTGAGAAATGAAAATGATAGCCTTTCTGAGGCATAATGTGTCTTTAAGTTCCATTTTCTATGTCATTGTCCAATTTAATTAATCTGTAAATTGTTGTCTGATTTATATCAGTGCACATGATACATTAACTTTCGATAAACTCTTAGAAGTTTCGTGGATGGACACAGGTCGTCAATTAAATCTATAATTTAAAAGTGTTTCGTGCATTTATATCAAAAATTATAACATAGTCTGATCTGCTTGCTTTGGCACTAGGTTACCAAACGTTTTCTATACAAACATTTACACAGACTTTAAATACCAATAGTATTTTAAGTATTCAAATATTTATGTCATAGTGTTTTACTTTTAAAACTACTTTTGTTATCGTGCGTTTTGTTGTACAAGTATCAAAATACGGTAGTTGGGTTGCGGATACCATGTTTGTAAAGGTAGTTAAATAACGGTTGTCCGTTGCGGATCCCGTGTATGTTTAGGTATCGAAATAAGTTGTAGGTTGCAGATCCTGTGTATCTTAAGGTATCAAAATACGATTGTTCATTTTTGGGTTCCGCCTGAGCTCCTTGCCGCTGGTTCTTGTTGCTGGGTCGTGTGGGGGTTGCGTTCATTGAACGCCGCCTTTCCTTGTTGATCTTGTTTATCATATTCTGTGATAATGCTTTATATACTTAAAGAATATTATAAGTTTAATCTATTAAGCTATAAAATAAGATATATATATAAGTATATAGGTAAACCGTTTTGATTTCTCATTTTCAATGTTAAATATTCATACTCGTATACTTGATCATCAAATCACTCTGTATTAAATGTAAAACATATCGTTTTAAGAACAGACGAACACATCATGTGCCTTTCCAAACTCTGTTCATGCATAAAGGGACACCTGAGTAGAACTACCGGCATTCAAACGCATGAAATAATTTGAAGTCTCTTGTGGGATTGGAACCTTCAACGGTGTGGAGAAAGTGGTTTGAAGTCAGTGATTGGCGCCGGACGCCTAATATTTTATTTATAAACTACTACATGGAAAAGTGTCTGATTTGATAAAGTGAATGTTTCATCTGTGACCTTAACACGATTGTGGAATCATAAATGGCTCATCGTGACTGACTGATAAACACACAAGTATGTGTGCACTTCTTTTATAGTCTATAACCTATGGAATGTAAAGGGCTTTTTGTTTCCTTTTATCCATTTAATGCATGACAAAGATTGTAGACTTATAACAGTTTATTTGTAGGCCAAATACGCCTTAAATGCTGTCATTTTTATTAACTCGACTTTTTAAAGGTATAGTTTCATTCATGTCTGCGTTCCTGTTGCTGTCCGCCAAATTTATTGGGCTTTCTTTAGAGATTCTTATTTTTTTCTCTATTTTAACCTTGATCATAAATTGTTTAGGTTCTTGGGGGTATTGTCTTCATTCCACAACAACCCTTTGGACAAGCTTTTAAGACAGACTAAACTTGAACATCTTTTTTTTATTAGTATAAGATTTCCATGTATATTAAACTCAAATTAAGCTTGGCTTATTTACCATTTTGATCTTAAAGGATTTTCAATGATTTTGCTACAATAGACTGTAACTTAGTAAAAATGTAATTAAAATATGGATTATCCTCATACTCAAGGTCAAGGTCAGTTCAACCTTTAAGAGGGTATTATTCAATTGCGATGTCTTGTCTAATTGAAAATCGTATTTTTGAGCTATTCTTGCCCGGTTTGAGTGACAATCATTGCACCGATTTTCAATTTTGGGACATTTTTCACTATGAGAATTATGATTCCGGAAAACCGGGAAAAGCAAATTATCTGAAATTTTGCACTCAAGCTATTGGGTTATGCCTACATCACACGGGACGTTAATCTTAAAAAGTTGTTTTGTCCCGTCATGTCTAAAACCTCAGTGGAGTCCCTTTAAGATAAAAGTATCTTTATGATCATGAAACATGCTTGACATGGTTATATCTGTATATTGACCGAAATATTCAGAAGAATTCAGAATTCTGTGAAGGATTATTTAAACTTGAGGTAATCAAACCTTTAGATTATAAACGTCTATATCGATTTTATCCATTATTGTCTACTACTTACTTAAAGTAGCTTGTCTCGCAATATTTAAACATTTTCTAAAATGTGTAGTATATTAAAGAAACGTTTAAGTAACCACAGGTGAATTGACACTGTATTAGACATTTGAATAATGCTTACAATTATATTTGTATTTTTACTATCAACGTACTTTTTCAGCTTACTAGGACAGCATATGTGTCTAGGACAGCATATGTGTAATTTAAGTGACTGGCTTATTTGACGAAATGATAATAACTTGATAAAAGTACTACATGATAATAACTTCTAAATGTACACATGTCTATAATATTACAATTAAGAAAGAAGATGCATGAATTGCCAAACGTTCTTGTAAAAGGACCTTTGCAACAATTTTCATATCGACCTATAGGCTTTAAACTTTGCATGATCTCTGAATATGCTTAAAGATGCATTTTTTGCTGAATGTAAAAAAGTTTTGGTTGCCGTTCTTGTTTTCGAGTTATCTTCCCTTGAAATTGAATGTTTTGCTTATTATCGTTTAAGAGACAAAGTTTACTTCCTCCTCTAAAATTTAAAGGGAAGAAATAAACATGAGAAGAGTTTTTATTGGTCATATTTTGATGACAAAGCGAAATCTGGGAATCGCATGGGCCATTTTAAAATATACAGTATTAATTGTGCCACATACTACTCATGTGACTACAAAGTCACATGATTGTGCTGGAGATATCATGTCTCTTTTACATTTAAATAAACTTTGAAAATAAACAACTTTTTTCCTCCCATCACATTATCAAAATCTATTTTTCTAACATTTTTTTTATTCTTAAAACACTACGTTAGATTTTTCAATGGAATATCAATGTAATCTATAATATATTATTGCTTAGATTTGTATCAGGGACTGACCGAATAACTAATGTTTTGTGAAATTGTGGTTCAATCCTTTTTCTTTCAAAAATTGTATAATTATATAATTTTCTATTAATTTGAAATGAACATGTATATCTTGTAAAAAAATGCAAAGAATAAAATACGTTTTAACTAAATAAACCTCACTTTCAGATTGTAAATATACTTGTTTTCTTCGAGGTTTGAATAAATTGATTAGATGAAACGGTGATACACCGACTAAGCCTTCTTTTGTGTATTTGATTACGAAACACATGTTGGTTTAACCCTCGCTTTAATGTAAGTCCAAACTATTCGTTCTGACCTACATTTTATTGAGCCATATATAGAAATTAACAACTATCTTTCGTTGATAAGAGAAATAAACAGGAGGAAATTTCTGTTTTGTATGTTAAAATCATTATTTGGATTTCTAAATTATTATTCTTAATGAATACATATAAGACGGATTAATTGTTAATACATTCTCGGAAGCTTTAAGCATTGTTCTTCAGTTACAAGTTAGTAACAATGTTTGAAAGGTCAATTGTGCATTAGAAATATTTTAAATTTTATTTCTCAAAAAGTATTTTTATGCCACCGCAGCATCTGCGATGCGGTGGCATATAGCGATTCACCTGTGTGTATGTATGTGTGTGTGTGTGTGTGTGTGTGTGTGTGTGTGTGTTTGTGTGTGTGTTATATAGATTATATAGTGAACTTAAAAAATCTTCTTGTGAAAAACCGCTAGTTCAATTTCAACCAAACTTGGCAGGATTGTTCCTTGGGTGAAGGGCTTCCAAAGTTGTTCAAAAAATTTCATTCCATGCAGAAATCTGGTTGCCATGGCAACCAAAAGGAACTAAAAGGATACATTTAAAAAATCTTCTTGTAAAGACCCAAAAGGCCTAGAGCTTAGATATTTTGCATAAGGCATTGTCTGGTAGACCTCTGACAAGATTGTTCAAATTATAGCCCTCGGGTCAAAATTGGCCTCGCCCCGGGGGTCATTGATTTTCACTATGTACATATAGTAAAAAACTTAAAATACCTTCTTGTAAAAACCCAAAAGGCTTAGAGCTTAGATATTTTGCATAAGGCATCATCTGGTAGACCCTTACCAAGGTTGTTCAAATTATAGCCCTTTGGTCAAAATCGGCCCCGCCCCGGGGTCATTGATTTTTGCTATATGTACATATAGTAAAAACTTAAAACACCTTCTTGTTAAGACCCAAAAGGCTTAGAGCTTAGATATTTTGCATAAGGCATTGTCTGGTAGACCTTTACCTAGCCCGCCCCAGGGGTCATTGGTTTTCCATTTATGTATATAGTAAAAACTTTTAAAAAATTCTTCTAACAATTGACAAATGTTAAAGGTTAGATATTTTGCATGAAACATTGTGTTGTAAAACTCTAGCAAGATTATTCAAATTATAGCCCGGGGGTCAAAATTGTTCCCGCCCTGGGGGTAATTGATTTCAATATATACATATCTAGTAAAAAATCAAAAAAATCTCATTGTCTGAAGGTTCAAGGCTTAGAGCTTTAATATTTGTTAAATAATATCATCTAAAGGTACTCTACCAAAGTTGTTCAAATTTTGCCTCTTGTGTCAAAATTAGCCCCGCCCCTGGGAGCCATAGGTTTATCCTAAATGTATATAGTTAAAACTTAAAAAATCATTTTCTCTTAATTTACAAAGGATAAAGTTAAGATATTTTGCATGAAACATTGTGTAGTGAACCTCTAGCAAGATTGTTCAAATTATAGCCCTGGGTCAAAATTGGTTCCGCCCCGGGGGTCATTGATTTTCATTTTGTACATATAGTGAAAAAAAAAAGTTTGTTTGAAGGTTCAAGGCATAGAGCTTTGATGTTTGATATATAATATCATCTATAGGTCCTCTACCAACGTTGTTCAAATGTCAAAAATTGGCCCTGCCCGGGGGCAGTGATTCTCATTATGTACACATAGTAAAAACAGAAAATAAAACAAATGTTTTCTGAATGGGAGAAAGCTACAGCTTAGATATTTTACTTGAAATGTTGTTTGGTGGACCTGTATCAAGATTGATATTAAACCCTTGGGTCAAAATTATGCCTTGCCCAAGGGGACAGTGACCTACTTTCTTGTCCTTTGTAAACAGCAATGACATTTTGACCATGTGCACAGTTTTAGTTGTAAAATTTAACTTTGACCTAGATTTTGATGATGTGACTTTCTTTCTTGTCCTTTGATGTATAGCTATGAAATTTGAACCATGCGGTGGCATAGCATTTTTCTCAAATGCAATCTTGTTTTTGTTTGTTTTTATTTGTTTGTTTTTTGTTGTTGTTTTTTTGGGGGGAGGGGATTGGGGTACTGTGTTGTGATATTTGCCATAGTTAAATTCAATACTTTTAGTAATAAGGACTGAGTCCCGCTTGGGCCGATGTAATAGGATGTACAGGACTGTGCTACAGCGTGAACAGGAGGGTTTGACGTTGAATGGGTTCTGTGAGAGATGTCACTCTTCCAGGACGTTTGAATAAACATGGTTATAAAATGACATTTGCCAGGATATGTAAAAAATACGTCAAAATTCATTCAAGTCTGATATGAAAATGCAATTAGGCAATTAAGGCGTTACGTCAGTCATGAATTCATGTTGGAATCTTAGAAAGAAGTCTTTTTTCCAGAATGACTGAATTAATTGTTCTTAAGATTGTCTATGTTAGGAAGGCACAAGTATGTACATTTGAACCATATTTTACTATCTTAGGAATGTTGCCAAGCTTATTCGTTATAAAAAGAAATCAGAATGTTTCTCAAACGATAAACCGTTGCAAGAAGAATGGATGGTATGATATTTCACAAAAGTCGTCCATGTTCATCAATGTTTTCATGTTTAGGTATGTTGATGATGATGATGATGATGATGATGATAATGAAAATAATAGATTCTAAATGACTTTTCTACCTTGAACAAGACCTTTGGGATCCAAGAATGTCATACCACAACGTCCCCCCCCCCCCCAGCACACACAGGTTTTGGCTCAAATTTCGCCGGAGAGGTTGTATAATTTCATGTGAGGACGCTATTTTGCTAACAGAAATGTTGTTTTTTAATTTTCTTTTTGGGTGACCGCTAGAAAAAGGAAAAGTGCATGTTGAAGTATTCTTCTAAACCGTATGATATTTACAAGAACGATACAATCTATTTTAATGCCTCTCATGTTTTATTTCACTTTATATTGTCCAAATCTATTTGACTAAGAATACACGCATCACAATGACATTCTTAAATATCATTTTCTTTCTTCTTCAGGGAAATGAACCTTTTTGCATTAGTCGTTGCTACTTCGTTTATAACGTCCTTAACCGCATCACAGAACACAAACGGTAAGTAAATTGATAACAAGGTGTACCATAATTTATTTGGGATTAAAGCGGCGCTGCAGTGTTTTAAGGCCAAAAAAATCGAAACATCTCGGCTTTTATTCATAATAACCTCGGATTGAAAGTAGTTCTATCTCGTGGTTTAAGGAGTAAACAAATAAAGAAAAATAAATAAATAAATAAAAAAAAAATAAACAACAAAACAGTGTAATGTTTGGTAAGGTGTAATAAGTGTATATTGTTTGACATCCAAAGGAAAATGAAGTCAATTTCGGTGAAAATTTGATTAAAATGTCTGACAATCAAAAACAATTTACTAATGCCCACTGATGAACAATTATAAACAGATCAAAATTAATGTCAACCGGAAGAGATTTTGTACTTTCGGTTTCTACAACTATAGTAATATATATGTATAATATGCTGTTAACATTTTTAGCTATAGCTTTACTTAATTAAGGTGGATCTTTACTCAATATGTTAGAAAAAACATATTCAACTACTCCAAGCGTTTCATTACTATTTATTTACATGTATAACTTCTAAGCTTAAGTTACTACGAAATACCGTATCCTTCTACGTATCCGAAGTTTGGAGGAAAAGGCCGAGAAAATGAGATTGGGACCAATATTTATAAATAAGAAAATTCGGTTTTGATCAGAATAATCTATAATAATTGCGTAACCTTTTACTTTTGTGTGATCAATTTTCCATGCTTTGAACTTACCTTAGAACAGTCAATTTGAATTTTGAGGACAAAATATAAACACTTCTTGCACATCAGACTGGCGTTTCTATTAATTTCACTCATGCCGGAAATTTCATCTGGCAATAGGGGTGCGCTGTACAATGGCACACTTGACGTTATGTAACCGTTATGAATGAAGATGTATTTTCATATACTCTTGTACAAAAATAGTTACGGATGAAATGACATAAATTTACATGGAAAATTGTTTTATTAAGGTAAAGAATTTAAATTATAATGAAATATGGTAGAATATGCACTAAAAATATCTGACATACGTTTGCAATTCGGATCGGAATATTCGTTCCTTGGGAACACGCCCAATGGCAATGGCGGTCACTGAGCAGGCCTCGTCAACGTCCAATGCGCGATCCCTGCAGGACGGATATTCCAATCGGAACCGCAACATACGACATCAAAATCTAATAGCGTTTCTTCAACTAAAAGCAGAAACAAGCTGGTTTGTTACCCGTTTCACATTCCTTTTAACAATTTGATAACTATTCCATTGAACCTAAAGGCACTAAATTTGACTAAATAAGATAACACAAGTTATGGTGAAGTAAGTAAGTAAGAAGCCGCATGAATTGCAAATAAGTTCAAATTGCCTTGCCGTAGGTTTAGCAGGTGCCATTTTGCCACAGTTTTGAAATTAAATTAAAAAGAAAGGCTATGAATTAAATTTGAATTTTCTCCGACAATTTTCTTATATTACCGATAAAAACTCAATACTAATCTTTTCATACTGAAATGTGTACTATAGCTTAAAGTGTCATTATGCTTCTTATTTCAATGTCTTAATTGACACTATGATTCAAAAGATTGAGTGTTGAAATGGTAACTAGAATCTGTTACGGATAAAAAAGTATTATGTCTAAAATATTTCAAAAACTGCTCCACTTTTTATTTTAATCGACCGTTACAGGTCCGATGGATATACACAGAACTTTCCTTCGGCCAGTGAGTTATGCGAAGTATATTTTAATATAGAAATGTTAACTTATTTTGACTTTCACCCGTTCACTCACAATATTTCCTTGGATGGGCATACTGTCAGTTTAAATGTGTTTTTATTCTTGTTTAAATTTTCACCTTCTTTTGCAGGGGAAACAAGGCGTTTTCTTTTAGATGGTCTACATGTTGATAAGGATGAACTAGATAAGATTCCAGACTTTTTAAAGCAAATTGAGTGTACAAAATGTAAATGTGATCATGAATGTCACGCACGAGATTTTGATCTTAAAGGTAAAGCAAAATTTTTGTCAAAAACAAATGTTTTTAAGGAAAATTGAAGTTTTAATTTTTTTTTTTTTACATTCAAGAAACATTAAGAAAAACCTTCAAAACTCAAGGTATATTGCAAAATTTTTGTATCGACAACTTGTACCGGAAGCGATAGTTCAATAAACTTCGGAGCAAACATACATGCACAAAATTTTCTAAAATTATTCCATATATAAAGTCTTCATTTTACCTCGTACATCTTTCAGCTGTGTGTAAAATTATAAATTGTAATTTAATAAAATATTAAGATGATTACAACTGGGAGCAGAAAACCGATTTATATAAATCTATACCACACGGCTTTAACTTCCATTTCAAAGAATGTTTGATTATAGTAAGGCTGTAAGAGATGGACAGATGGGCTGCCAGACCATTGCTCTCTTTGAGCCTACATACACTTTAACACACTACCAAAGTTGTTGATACATGTACAACCTCTGTTACTCGGACGGGAATAAATTTAGTGTCTGTTTTAACAAAACGGCTATTTACATTTGAATTGAATTGATTATTGAATAAAGATTGTTATTGTTTTTTATGTTTGTTAAATAACATATATGTTAATAGAATAAGAGTTGCTAGTATTTTTATTTTTGTAACTTTAAAGCATCATAGATAACTAGGCAGGACTATTAACAACTCAACTCTTAATTTTCCCGTCGAAAACAATAGGGAGAGCATTGGCTTTGTAATACAGGGGGCCGCTGGTTCGATTTTCGGGCTAAACGAACTATTTTTTGCGACAATTAATCATGAACATTGGTCTTAATGGTCAATTATCTCTTAAAAATGTTTTGCCAGTTAACCTGCCGGCTATATGGGGAACGCCATGTTTGTTCTCGATATCGTGAATAATACCCACTTAGTATTGGTTTTCCAGGGGTTAAAATTAGCAACCGTATCGCTTTCAAAATTTCAATCGCTTTCAAAAGCTCGCCGATGATTTGCAGTTTGAAAGGTCACGAGAAGGTTAGCTCCTATTGATGCCAGTCAGATCGTTATGCGTAATTTTAATCAGATTGGATGGACAATCTGCAAAATGCGTGTAAATACAAAATATTTATTACCATTCTCTAAAGTGTGTGTTATTTAGCTTTTATAATAATTATTTTTACTTTTTCAGAGGATGATGTTTGCAAAGATTTCTGGGATTCCATTTCATGCACAGGTAAATTGATTTAAAAAAAGGTCAATGGTAGAAAACCATATAACTTTGTGCAAGACCAAAACTAAACAATTTCTTTGTCGTCATTCGGTTCTTCATAATTTTAAAAATAATAATAATAATAAATTAAAGAGAAAAAGTTCTAAATTCATAGAAAAACTTAAACTTGTAATTTCGCTTTTGTCTTTTTCATCAAATTCAGAACACAAGAAGAAAAACTAAACAAAAAACTATACGTGTTTCTAAGTTGCCGTCATCAACGTAGAACATGATAAAAAGAATTGACAATTTATTGGATTGAATTACTATTGGAACTCGCATAGGAATTCAAATGTCTTTGTTCAGAGTTGTGTGAAGTAGCTTTTCTCTCCCGTACATATCGTAAGATTAAGAACAAACTATTGTCTTGTCAGACGTCTATCGTGATTTGCACTCGCATATCAGATTGCTATTAGACTTTTTTAAAAATGCCTATATTTTTTACTTTTTCCACAATGATATATCACATAAATTATGTTGTTCCCGTGCACATAAATAAGTGTCTGAATTGCAAAAGGTAAGTGTGCACTTGGTCACAGCGGAAGTTTGTATGCTAATATAAAGAAATAAATATATAAATAATAGCCTATTTTCTCTATGAAAATATATGTATCTTTTGATCTAGTTATTTTATGTAATTATTTTCGAAAATTATATATGCTATGTAAAAAAATTACGTTTATACATGTACATACATATGCACATGTTTTATTGTATTAAACAGTAATAGACGTTTTATATTATTGTAATATTGTAACGTTTCTTTTACGCGCCAAATGTGACGTCTATTAACGTATACGTCTGTTTTGTACTTTTACGTCATTTCCTTAATGTGTCAACTGAGGAAGCTGAATAAAGCGAAACATGTGTTGATACTTAATTTGTGTTGGTTTTGATCCAATTGTCTTAATATATAAATAAGCAAAATATTAGGAATAAAATAGTGTGGAAATTAGCAAAATAGATATATTGACTACAAAACTGTTTGAATGTGATTGAATTGTAATTTTGTGATATCTTCTTGGTTAATATCTTGTTTCCTTTATTAAACTATAATATAATAAAAAGTGTTTGTGCCTTGTTTGAACATGGTGACGCAAATTTTTGTGTTACCTCCGGTATTTAATGATTAACTAATGATTAATTTTCATCCTTCCAAGTATCTTGATTAAGTTCACTTCATTAAAAGAATTTATCGAGCCTCGTTACATTTGTTGCCACATTTATACATTCAATACAAAAATTCTACAAAAATCTTGTTTTATTTTGCAACTTTACGTTTTTAAGCCATGGTGTCTCTCATTTAGCCTTAATTCACATGGTTACAACGGCAGATGTAAGATGATGTGTGGCAGCTGTAAAAAGATGTCAATTTCTGTACTTCAGGGTTTTTTTCTGGCCCTTCGGGATAATTGCATACAAAACGCCTGTGTTGATAATTGTTTTTATACCACTTAAGAGGTGCTCCTTGGCGTTTGATAGGTTGCGTTTCGATAGTGAGGTAGTTTAAACCCCTGGTGTTTCTTAAGTTAACACCTGAGATTAGCCAAGTTCATCTTTCATCTTTTAAAGGGTTATAATCCTACTATTTTACAACATATCGTATGCTTAGTGTTCAACTCATTAACAGTTTGATGCTACGCTTTACTGTTTTGATTACATTTGACGGACAAAGTCGGAGACTCTATGATGGGCAGATTTTAAAGCCCATTAATTTCAATCATATTTTATTGCTATAAACATGTATATACAATACAGATACAAATTTTATATGTATTATAAACAGCAAAAACAAACGGGTTGGGCCCAAGTTCTTACAACATTAGCGGTCGGCCCTCCACGGAAAGCCTATTGGGACTGAATTGCCTTAATTTTGCTTCGTCGGGCCCTTGTAAGTGATCTTTTTGTTGCTCTGTCTTCCTTTTAGACATTGAGTACTTTTGTTATGGTCATTGGGTTTCCTTTTGTACGTTTCTACATGAGCATTTCGATGTTTTACTTATTTCACCCTGTGTAACTATGACAACTGTTAGAATTTTACTTGGCGGGGATTTATTTACTTACACTGTCTCGTTTATAGGGACATGGTGGAGCTAAAAGTGAGGTTTGGTGCACCATTAACCAGTTTTAATTCCCCAGCAGTATTTATGCTGCTGACCGTTCCAAGGCGGCGCCCCTCTATGTTCGTCTGATATATGTTTTTGTTGTTTCATACTGTTCTGGTGACACTTTTGCGTCCCTTGTTGATTTCTTGTCCACGGTAAGTATCTTCCCCTTTGCCCCCAGTTTTTATTTCCATTATTTATACCCCCTTCACCAGGTGTCCTGTCCCCTTTGACTTTATGGGCCTATTATTCAGTCATTTATTTTTTTTCTTTAGTTCCTTATCAGTTACTAATTAATTCCTCTAATGTATGATTTTAACGATTAACCTGCCCATGCTCCGCCTTTTGGCCTGTCCTGTTTTTGTTTAGAGTCCTTCTGGGCTCCTTGCGACTGGCTCTTGTTGCTGGATCGTGTGGGGGTTGCGTTCGTTGAGCGCCACCTTTCCTTGTTGATCTTGTTTATCATATTTCCTGTTGCGGCGCCATATGACCTTTATTATGTTGGTCGTCATAAAACAAAACAAACACAACTATAATGTATTATTTTCTCGTGTTCTATTTGAATAGCTACAGCTGTTTCATCTGGAAACACTGGAGTAACATCCGATCACTGTGCGAGCGCACTGTGCAAAAATAATGGAACTTGCAACAATGTCCAAAGTACTTACATGTGTAATTGTCAGACAGGATGGACGGGAAACACCTGCGAAACAAGTAGGTTTGTTTTAGTAATAGTTATTACTCGTTATCATTATTTCTGTTTTTATTAATGTTATAATTATATATTAATCATGTATTGCATTTTGTTTTATGCAATTATTTTACCATAATTTTCAGAACTTTTGTTGTAATTTTTTTATCATTGTTGTTGTTGCCATTGGTATTATAATTATTATCATTATTATTATTATTATTGTTGTTGTTGTTGTTGTTATCATTATTATAATTATTATTATTCTCATTATGAGTAGTAGTAGTAAAGTAGTAGTGGTAGTGTTGGTGGTGGAGGCGGTGGTTGTTGTTGTGGTGGTGATGCTTGTTGCAGTTATAGTATGAGTGGTTCTGATTGTAGTATCATATTTTGTTTCTTTAAATTACATTACTCATGAAATTAAGCCTTTGTCTTAAACTGACCAACACCAGAATCCCAATATATTGTGAAAAATTGTAATGTTCTGACCGACATACCTCGAGGAAAACAAATTTTGCAGTACGTACTTAAGCAATAAAATATTATAAATACAATTGAATTCAATATGTAACTATCTTTTTTATAACGTATTACAAATACTTCTTTCTCTTAATAAATTTATGCACATTCATCACATTGTGTATTTAGAGGTACAACCGCAAGATCAGTGTGCAACTCTGAACTGTCACCATGGAACATGTTCCATAACCAATGGCGTGGCTAGTTGTACCTGTAACCAAGGCTGGAAAGGCAACCAATGTCAGACAGGTATCATTGAACAGTTTAACAAGTTTAAGTTTTAAGTTTACAAGTTTAACAAGTTTTATTCATATCAAACCAGAAGGTCAACGACCCATGTGGCAAAATGCAAATATGGCAGTTTACAAACTAGCATATAAGACCTACATAAATAATATTAACGAACATATTTCCGTTTCAGTTTACGTAACAGTAAACATAACTTATTTAGCAAAAGGTATTGAGTTTTGCATTTAAAATAGTTTACATAATTACAAACGAAACTGGTGACAGATATGAATATAAACTGTCCAAAATACATAGATAACTAAGTGATTGAAGCAGTTTACCGGAAATATAGCAAATTATGATTTTAAAATTATTGGTAACAATGATTCGCTGAATGAGTAAGATAATATAACATCTGAGAAAACCATATTTGTCAGCCTTGTCCGAAAAACGAAAGAGACAAGATTGGCATATGGTAAAACAAAAAGTTGTTTAACAATATCATGAAATAAAAGATATATTTACAAATTTAATTTTACAATTACTTAAGTTGCACAGTTGACAAAGTTACTGCACCTTAATAACCTTAATTACGCTGAATGAAAAAAGTGTTGTTCCTAACATTAAAAGATTGTAAAACATTGAACTGTTATGTACTATTTGGTAACATAAATTGTTAATTTTACTGATGCAATCGTTTAAAGTTTCGGAAATATAAATAAATTTTCCTGGAAACTTTGAATAATACAGATGCTTAAACAATAGTCACTGTAAGGTTAATCATGACATCAGTTACAGTTTCAAGAAGCATGACGTCATTGTAAGCGTATTGAAGCATGATACCATTCTAAGCTTATTGATATATGACGCCATTATAAGTGTATTGAAACATGACGTCACTCAAAACTTATTTAAAGATGACGCCTTTGTAAGCGTATTGAAGCTTGGTGTCATAATAAGCTTATTGAAACATGACGTCATTGTAGGTGCAATGAATCATGACGTCATTCTCAGTTTTTTGAAGCGCAACGAGATTCTAAGCTAATTGAAGCCTAACGTCATTTCAAGCTTATTGAAATATGACGCCATTGTAAATGTATTGAAACATTATCTCATTATAAGTTATTGAAACATGACGTCATTTAAGCGCATAAATGCATGACGACATTCTATGCGTATTGAAGCACGACCTCATTCTAAATTTTTTGAAACATGACGTCATTGTAAGCATATCGAAACATGACGTCATTATGCGATTATTGAAACATGACGTCTTTGAAAGCGTATTAAAGCATGATGTCATTGTAAGTTTTTTGAAACATGACTTCGTTGTAAGCTTATAGATAAGAAGCTCGGAAAACTCTGTAATATGACTAGAAAACGGCAAATTGCACGTTTAAAGCTGATGACGGTTTACTTAAAATTAGACTTGCCTCTGAAATCATGTACCAATTGAAAGGCTTTCATCAAAACTATTAAAATGTTTCAAATTAATTCAATTTAATTAACACTTAACTATCTCTAAAGCTATGTTGACCCATGTGCATTTAACATAGATATAGAGAACATGATGGCGAAGGTTTATCAGGACAGGAAGAAAGTGCGAGCTTTGGGGAACAAAGATTCACTTTCACAGCAAACCGGATAAACCGACTTCAGATTTGTTTTCGATTCATCTTGCTTTTGTCTATTTTTTTCATGTTGTTTAGATTATTCAAACGGTTTCATTCACGATAACCTTTCCCCCGATAAAACAGCCTTTTTCTTGCATATCAGACAGGATTATCTACCGTTTACACCGGTGCTAGAAAACCCTGTCTTACACCCCCCCCCATGTAAGACAAGTCGCGTGCTTTAAATGACGTCAGTGCTGCGCGCCTTTTATGAATGAATTGCGTTCTTAGGATGACGTCACTTAACCGTTATGAATGAAGCTGTAAGTTCATACGCTACTATTAGAAAAAAGTGCGTAATGAGAATATCAGTTTTCGTAATTTCTGTTCTAAAATAATTGATATGTAATATGCAAGAAAAAGAATCAAACACTGGCTGTCGGTGCAGACGGGAATATCTAGCTCTCGGGTGACTGTTTAAGGCGGAAACTCGGCAGAGCCTCGTTACTGCCGTAAACAGTCACCTTTGAGCTAGATATTCCGGTCTGTACCGGCAGCCGGTGTAAGATTCTTATAATATATAACTACTAACCATGTAACGTCATCATAGGCTATCCATGTGACGTAATGACTGGAGATAGATAAGCTAATCCGTCAAGGCTTTATCCAGTTGATAATATAGACAGTAGCAAGATATTTCTTGGTTATTTCAGATATTAATGAATGTACACAACATCCATGTCTTCACAACGGATATTGCATGAATACGGATGGAACATATTCTTGTTCATGCGCGAATGGTTGGGAAGGCAGTCAGTGTGATATAGGTAAAATATCGTGTTTTTTGTATAGAGTTTTAATGGTTTCACATATCAAGCATATAAATGGTTTGTTCACTTTATTTTCCTGTTATTCTTACGCGGATTTTTTTACGCTTTGGTCATATCTATCTTAGTTTGCTTTCCGCCTAACCGGCTACAGTGACAAAATGGGGAATAACCTCGCAATCGACAAACAGGATTCTTAGCCACATTTGCTTTCTGAATAAGTTGTGGGAGACAAATGACCATTAGACTTAATGTCCGAAATCAAATGTGACAGAGCAATGAGGCCTCGTGAGAAAACCTAATCAGATTACATATTTAAACTGACAAGTATAAAATACTAAATTGTCCTATAATTTGAAAATGAATTGTTTATTTGTTTTGATTAAATATATGCTCGAATTTGCGTTTTGACCCTTCCTTTCTAGTAATTCTTTTTCATCACTGAAATAGCACAAAATGACATAAAAGAAAGGCTAAAATGTTTGATACAATTTTACACAATTGGTATTTTTAAATTATAGACGTATATTTATAAATCATTTCATGCTAGTCAATCTATACAATGGCCTTGAGAAAAAGGTAGTTAATACAGTTCATACAGAATCGTATCAGTATCATTATAATTTAAACGAAAAATAAAACAAATGTAAAAGGCAATGACTAGTTGGTTTTATTTAACCATTGAACATTCATAAATGGCTACAAATGGGGTATACACAATGCACTATTCTTTACATGATCATACACGACCATGTGTTTTTTGTCCACAGACACCAATGAATGTTTGAGGAACCCATGCCCTATTGCCAACGCTACCTGTACCAATACTGATGGGTCATACACCTGTAGTTGTCCGAGTGGATGGGAAGGCGTTAACTGCGAAATAAGTAAATTAGAAAACAACTTTACATTTGTGTTTGCGTTTGTATGTGTATGTGTGTGTGTGTGTGTGTGTGTGTGTGTGTGTGTGTGTGTGTGTGTGTGAGCGTGCGTGTGTGCGTGCGTGTGTATGCGCGTGCGCGTATGTTGGTGTTTGTTCGTGCGTGTCTGTGTGCGCGCGCGATGATAATAAAAACTAGCTGTTTCTTTAAGACCTGACTATTCGTTTTTGTTCAAGCAAAATAATTTAGTTGTTATAGTATCTCAATCATTTACGTGTAAGTATAGTAATTGATGAATTGTTGACATTTCTCTGGCATTACCAATTATTTTACAGAAAGTAAATGACAGTCGCATCTTGAACCAGTGCTGAAGGACATACTATCACAGAAAGTTGATTATTTATCTTATGTACGGAGTCATCGTTCTCCAGAATTTTCTGTTCCTGACCGTCTCAAACGGACACGTACGTGTTTGATCCGGAATGTTGCTCCATAACTTTGAGCCTTCTTAAACCTAGATGAACTATTTCGAAGTCACCTTACTTCAATCGTATTAGGGACGCACAATAACGTGATGAGGCCCGGCTTTCACTTACATTCTCAGTCTGAGACAAATCTCAATCTAAGATTTCTAAATAGTGCCCGATATTCTTACTCACCTGAGAAAATCTCAAGTTTGTTTTCACTTAACTTTTTCTCAACACTTGAGATTTTTCTCAACTGCAATCTTCAAACGTTAATGTAATTGTGAATTGTCGGCATGACTAAAATATGCAACACAGATTTATGTTTTGAAGTATACAGATCTAGTTACCATTTTGGTTTAAACCGAGGCAACAGAGAAATATTTTGTATATTTTCATTAGATCTACAGTACCTTATGGGCATACATGTTTTTCCAAAATACAAGAATATTTAAATGGAAATGATTTATCAAGGATGAATATAAAAGTAGGTTGGGATTTTTCTCCGGGAAAAAGCTCAGATTTGAGCTGAGATTCTGACTTTGAGAACGTTAGTGACAACCGGGCAACGATTGACAGTAAAAGTTAACAGCGGTCTGTTAGTTTGTACAAATGTAGCTCGTTCGTCCTTTTTCACATACATACGTTACTCGGTCAAATTACGTTTTTAGTACATGAACGTAGTAATTATATCTAAACACAATAAATCATTTCTGAACAACATTGCATCACGTTTCAATCAAGTTTTTAATTTTTAAAGTACAACGTGGTCTCTCAGTACGCTCAACCCGTTATGAGTTCGGGGACACAAACTAGTGTCACCAAAACAGTATGAAACAACAAAGACATACATTTGAGGAACACAGACGGGCGCCGCCTTGGAACGGTCAGCAGCAGAAGAACTGATGGGGTGTTTAAATCGGTTAATGGTGCACCAAACCTCACTAGCCCCACCCTGTTCCTATAAAATAAAATGAAACCCCGCCAAGTGAAATTCTAACAGTTGTTATGGTAACAAAAGGTGAAATAAGTAAACGTTCAGACGATATATCTTGAGAAAAACAGTCTGTTACTATCATTATTATCATGTGCTACAAATACTTCTTTCTCTTAATAAATTTTTGCGCATTTATCAAATTTTGTATTTAGAGGTAAAACCGCAAGATCAGTGTGCAGCTCTGAACTGTCTCCATGGAACATGTTCCGTTACCAATGGCGTGGCTAGTTGTACCTGTAACCAAGGCTGGAAAGGCAACCTATGTCAGACAGGTATCATTGAACTGTTATATAAACAGTTATGTATCTGGAAACATAAATTGTTAATTTTACTGATGCAATCGTTTATAGTTTCGGAAATATAAATAGATTTTCCTGAAAACTTTTAATAATACAGATTCTTAAATAGTAGTCTATGTAAGCTTATCAAAACATGACGTCATTATAAGCGTATTGAAACAGGCTGTCATTGTAAGCGTATTGAAACATGCTGTCATTGTATGCGTATTGAGTAATGACGTCAATCTAAAATTATTGAAACAAGAAGCCATTGTAAGCTTATTTAAGCTGACTGTCATTATAAGCTTATTCAAACATAACTTCATTGTAAGCGTATTATCAAAATGCTCGGGGAAACCATATTATATGACTTAAAAAACGGCAATTTGCACGTTTAATGCTTATAAATGTTAACTTAAGACTCAATTTAATTCCATCATTCGAAGAATTAAAAGTGCTGTAATCATATTAAACCATGAGCTGTTGAATGCATTTTCATTCGATTCGTCTATCTTTACATCTACTATGGCTACATGTATGCCACTCAATCTTGTGTATTTAAGATAGATATTAGAAAATACATGGTTGATGTCGCGATGGAGAAGATTTATCCGGGCAGCAAGAAAGTGCGAGGTTTAGCGAACAAAAACTCACTTTCGCAGCAAACCAGACAAACTGTCTCCTATACCGAAATCAAAAATGTATTCGATTTATCCTGCTTTTGTCTATGTTGTCATGTTTTTTTAGATTAATAAAACAATTTCATTCAAATTTAGTTTTCCCCCGATAAAACAGCGGTTATATGTACTTACTTACTATGTAACGTCATCATAGGCTACCCATGTGACGTAATGACTGGAAATAGTTGATCCGGCAAGGCTTTCTCCAACTGATAATATAGACAGTAGCAGGATAAAGATATTTCTTGGTTATTTCAGATATTAATGAATGTACACAACAGCCATGTCAACACAACGGATATTGCATGAATACGGATGGAACCTATTCTTGTTCCTGTGCGAATGGTTGGGAAGGCAATCAGTGTGATAAAGGTGACATATTATATTTGTGTATAGGGTTTTAATAGTTTCACATATCAAGCATATTAAAATGGTTTGTTCAGTTTATTTTCCTGTTATATTTTCAGTCGAATTAAAACACTTTTCGGTAATATCCGGTTATATCGATCTTAGCGGTCGATCCGCTTATTCAGCTACAGTCCCATGATTAGCAATTTCCCCGCAAACGACCAACTTGATACCCACATTTGTTTTCTGAATAAGGGATGAAACACAAATGACAATTAGACCAAATGTCTGAAATCAAATGTAACAGAGCAGAAAACCTGTTTATATTACATAATTAAACTGACAAGAATAAAATACTTAATTGTCCTATTTTTTTTATAGTGAATTTGTTTTGATTAAATATATGCTTGATTTTTCGTTTTGATCCTTGCTTTCTCCTGATTGATTTTTTTTTCATCGGTGAAGTAGCATTAAAATCACAGAAAAGTATAATAAAATGTTTGATAAGAAATTTATTTACCGGGTTATTTATATTTCATTATTTTAGACGAATATATTAATTAGTATATTTTTATATCTTTTCATGCTCGTCATTCTATACCAGGGCCTATTGAATTAAGTAGTTCATACAGTTTATACAGAATCGTATCAAATATAATTACCATCGAAAAAACAAGTTTAAGGCAATAATCGGTTGGTTTTATTCAACCACTAAATGGCTACAAATGATGTATACACAATGCACTATTCTTTACATGCTTATACACGACCATGTGTCCTTTGTCCACAGACACAGATGAATGTCTTCTGAACCCATGCCCTAGTGCCAATGCTACCTGTACCAACACTGTTGGATCTTACACCTGTAGTTGCCCAAGTGGGTGGGAAGGCGTTAACTGCGAAATAGGTAAATTAGAAAACAACTTTAAGACAAAATTATACACTTGTGTTTGCGTATGTTTGAGTATGTGTGTATGTGCGCGCGTCTTTGCGCGCGCGTGTGTATTTGTGCGCGTGCAATGGTAATAAAGTCGAACTCTTCTTTAAAACCTGACTGTTCGTTTTAGACATGCAAAATAATTATGTTTTTATAGTATCTCAACCATTTACGTGTGGGTATAGTAATTGATGAATTGTTGATATTTATTTCTCTAGCAATACCAATTATTTTACAGAATGTAAATGGCAGTCGCATCTTGAATCAGTGCTGAAGGACGGATTATCACAGAAAGTTGATTATTGATCTTATGTACGGACTCATCGTATTTTAAACTATTAACAGACTGTTTCAGGACGGCCAAGGATGTGTTCGGGAATGTTCCTCCATAACTTTGAGCCAACTCAAATATTTGGTTTGGCATCCCCGTACTTTGATTAGATGGACTTCCAACTTTCTATCGAGATGAACTATTTGAACGCAATTACAATACTTCGTCCGTACAAAAAACGCGCAATAACATGACGAGATCGGGCGATGATTGACAATAGGAGTTTACAGCAATCTGTCAGTTTGTCAGCTTGTTCGGCCTTTTCACAACATAAGTTATTTCATAAGTCACATTACGTTCTTAGTACGTAATAATTCTGTCTAAATATAATAAATCAACATCATTTCTGAACAACATTGCAACACGTTTCAATCCAGTTCTAAATTCGGACACTCAGACAAAGTAGAAATAATATTGGGCAGTTTTCTCATGAATTATCTAGCAACTGTCTTGCTAAAATTTTGATTTATTCATTTCTGTTGGAAGTGGAGCAATAAAACGATGGGATGGTAGAGCGACAAGACAAAGAAAGTGTTGTGTGAGGACTGCTTGTGTTGCTCTACACTTGCAAATGTCGTTAGTTTGATATTGTCTATTTGAACGCCTATAATGAACGGTTGAAATAGAATGAGAATGACATATACATGCTGTTGTATAGCCGGCAAGACTGGACGTTATTTTACTAATGACGATCTGAACGCACATTGGGCATGATGAGGACTTGACAAGGACTTTATCAACTGTCTATGAACAAAGTGGACATGCTACAAACTTGTTCGTGCAGTATATAACGTATTTCTTATGTGTGAAATAAGCAACCCAACGGATTTAAACAGACTGCAATCGGCCATAAACTGACTGAAAAAGATGTTACCGGGTAATAAACCAGATCTGAACGGACTTCATGCGGTATAACGGCGGTATCAGCGTATCATTAACTAACTGTCTGTGAACTATTTGGTTCGCATTGTAGATATTTTCCGGCGATATTTTTGCGTCTTACCACAGCCCGTCCAAGGATATTTTGAGAGTTACGGACTAGTTTGAGTGACAGAAGCATTAAGAAAAGGCATCATGGACTCGTATTGAAATTTAACTTACTATTCTCCCAGTAGCGCTTATCGTGATGCATGTACACCCAGTGTATTGGTAATGCAATTGTATGGCTATCGTGAATTAAAACATTTGTATTACATTGTTAATCCTTGTATTTTAGATATTGATGAGTGCACAAGATACAGATTTTGTCAGAACGGGGCCACGTGTGTAAACACCCAAGGACAGTTTACTTGCACGTGTCAGAGTGGATGGAAAGGAACGCAGTGCCAAACAGGTTTTTGTGATATTTGACAAATTATACAGTCATGTTGTATAAGTTTGGTTTGATACTTCTGCATTGTAATTTCTATATCCACATTATTTCTTCTTGAAATATTTACTGAATTTGGTCGAACCAGAGTGCTGGCTTTAGTTACAAAATGAATTGCAGTGATTGTACTTTTATAGGACACTAATGGGTTAATGTACCTTTTCTCATGAATAAATATCAGACTCGGCACAAGCACAATGACGCATTTAATGACTCTGTAATTCAACACACACATGAATATTGAATGCAAACAGAGACTAAAATTTTATGCTGCTATCTTGAAATAGGGTTTAGCCGGTAAATTATGATTTCACGCATTCGCTGGAAAAGAAGTATATTGAGACAGACATATGTTTGTCTTTTGAAAATATTTCTTTTTTTCAAACACTTATTTTTTAGGCAAATATATACCTTTATACACTTTAATATACATTTGTATTTTGTAAAGTGTTGGATGTGAACCTGTTTGGATGTTTCACCAGTTTTACCTGCCTCAGTATAATGACGATATTTGCAGGTTTTCTATTTGAATATTAAAATATGTTTGTAATGTAAGATATTGACGTTTTTTGGTTTTTTTTATGTATTTTTTTTTCATTTTGATTAGTTAAAGTGACATTATGCTCATATTTTCAGTCAAGTGGAGCTGAATTGACTATATATTTCAAAAGATTGACAATCAAAATGGTGTTTGACCAAAAGTTGATATTGGAAAATGTTTTTGATAAAATTATAAATCTGCCTAAAATTAAAAAAGACTGCCCTACTCTTTTTATAAACTAAGCATTAAAGGTAAATTCTAATGGATATTTACAGAAATTTCATTTGGATTTGTGCGTTGTTTATTGTTTATGCGAACTTACTTAAATTACTTGAATTAAAAGATATTATGGCAAAATGAAAACATTTTTTATCTTCATCCGTTCACTCACTATATACCCTTAGATTGGCATAATGTCAATTTAAGTTTTAATGGCGCACCAACACTATACAGGTCATATGGTGCTTACCTCGGGTTGTGCTTAAGAATGCCCAGGTGATAATGTAATTGTTGAATTAATATCACTTAACACTAAGTCTTACAAACTTAAAAGCAACACTAGGTGGCATAACCACCTCACCTGCTGGAGCTGAGTTACACAGATCACATTTGTTTTTCTAATTGCATGGTTTTCAATTTGTGTTAAAACAGATGTGGATGAATGCTTGAGCAACACTTGCAAACATGGAGCTTGTAGCAATAACCAAGGCTCATACACATGTACCTGTTCTCCAGGGTGGTTTGGAGTTAACTGTGAAAAAGGTTCTCAAATATATATTTTTAATTTTGGAAACCAGTTATCTTTTAAATGTTCTCTTAGTAAAGACAATGTATTAGATAACTATCAATTATCATCAGTATTTTGGCAATTGATATGTTTATATATGATAATCATTTGTGCTTTTTTGAACAGATTGTGTAATTTTAAGTGCAGAAATGAAAAATTGTACTTTCAAACTATATGGCTATTAGCTTTCAAATTGAAATAAAAGTAAAATGGAATTTACATGATTTTGTTACTTTACACTATTTATAGCAACAATGTTGCGCTTTCCAGTTGGTGACACTTTTTAATACATATAAACATAAGTGCGTCCCCTGTTCTGTCGACGCCCTGTCAGATGCAAGCCCAATATTGTGGCATAGAGCATGTTATTGTTAGAATAATCAACAACTTTTAAGTAGCTTTGTAGTCCTTGAATACTAAATATGCGTTCTTATAGCGTCAAGAAATTTGGTGAGTTCGTTTAGCGAACACTTGAAAATTAATACTTAAAAATGTGTCTTTTTTATATTACGCAGGTGCTAACTCAACCGAATGTGATCATATTTGTTCCCTAGAATCGGCCGTGAAACAGGTACCAGTTAACTTCCCCTCTGCCACGTGCAGTGGTTCCTCAACTTTCGCTCCGAATGAGGCGTTGCTTCAAACATGTTGTGGTATTGGTGATAAATCGGGTTGGAAACAAGGAGAAAAGGTAAAATTAAGTGTGAAACCACAATTGTTTGAAGACAATTGTACAAATTAGTCATTTATACTTGATTTATCAAATAAGAAGGGTCAACTCAGTAAAATTGTTAAAACTTATGGTCCAACCCTTTTGCTTTTATGATTATCTACAACATCTCCGAAAATGTTTTGTCATACGTTTGCATGTGACATTGTATTTGTTTTGTGTAGAATGAAATATAGAATTAAATAAAAAAAAAGAAAAAAAAAAAAAAGAAGCAATAAAATATGATCAAACTAAATTTGTCTGAAAACAATTTTATCTCAAGTAAGAGATTGAGTGTTTCAAATACATTGTCTTGTTCAAAGTTTAATTACTTTGTTAAATTGTATATTGTATATTAAAACAACTTTTGCAGAGCTACATTTTGTGCCATACCCCATGGATACTTACATGTAATCAAAAAATTATTCTTGTCAAGTTGCCAAACAGTCTAACTGTTTCACAAACGATAATTCGTGATAATTACCATACATCGTCTTTCAAGTACTACTGGATCAGTTGTTGTGTAGTACATGTAGTATAACAGTAACCTAAAAAAGGGTTAAATTTAACATGTTAACTTATACAGAATTTGATTAAAGAACCTTCGATATCTAAGGTTGATATTCAGTTAAAACTGATGAAATTCTAGAGTATCCATAAAATTCGTATGCTTTTCATTGTCAAAAATATTTATTTATATATAACAGGTCATGACTAAGTGCGGCACAAATTCTATGAATGCATTCACGCCAGTGGCTGCCTACATAAACGGTGTCATAGTACCTGACACAGCTGGCATCTTGACTGGATGTCTTCATCATGGGGAAACCGGCTTTATGGTATTTTATTTTTCCAAGTTGATCAATCTGGAACTGAATATTTGGAGAATAAAATATATAAGACAACACTTGCATTGCCATATTACAATTCAATACATTACTTTTTTTCTAAACCTAGCTTTATCAGTCAGATATCAGCTAGATTCCAACGATATAGAAGTGTGGATGCTTAGATAAAGCATATATATTGTTTTTATAGGACGGGCCCCACTTAGACTTTTTCAAGTCACGTACCTGGAATGCTTCAGAAATGTCTTACCATGTAATAAAAATCTAAACCGACAATTCGCGTGCAAAATTTCATATCATGACCACCTGCTCAATCCGCTTTTTTAAATTTTTATTATGCTCAAATTTGATGTTTTAAAATATTGATAATTGCTACATGGTCCCTTTGTAAATATAAAATAAACAAGTTTTGACTTCACACGAAGTAGATATGTTATGCTCTAAATCGTTCGGACTGTAAGTGGACAAAATAGAAAGTGTGAAAAAACTGGCAGTTTTTTTACAGAAAGGATTAGCTTTACTTGACCCATAATAAGAAACGAATATTTTCATATACTAGTATACTCTGTACGTTCTTTTATATAATCATAATAATAATAATAATAATAATAATAAGACATACTTATTCAGTAATAATGTTGTAGATTCCAATACATAATATCTGCAATAACAATATTATCTTTTGTGATCATTTCATAGAACAAATTGACCTCAAAAGTGTCTATTACGTATAATTGACCACAAAAGTGTCTATTCCGTATAATTATGATGAATTTAACAATGGTCAGGATCACTGTCACTTTCTGTGGATCATCATTATCAAATTTTATAAATAATATAGAAATGGACAATATGGGCAATATGAACATGTAAAAAGTCAGATAAGCTTACACATACATTTACGATCAGACTGCAGGCATGACCGGTGTTTTTTTTTATGTTTTCTTTTGTTAAAATCCTAAACTACACGATGAACAATAACTTTATTTAATGACCAAAGACATCCTCTTTTATCGAGGCGTACTCGTTACGTATACCCTTTATTCGAGTATTTTTGTTTGTGTTATTTTCTTTCCGGCGCACGAATATAATTTTTGCCATATTGCGCCGACACAAGACCAATGATTCTGGCTAACATTCGAGTGTAGTCCAACGGAATTTCAACAATGGTTCAGAGAAGTAAAAATTTAACATGAATTCTGAAGCCTCATGGTTAATTATTTAGTTTCTGTTCCTGTGTTCAGGAGTTGTTTTTGTTATTATAATATCCTTTATATTTTCAGATAATTCGGCAAGATTGCTTAACAAAGCCGACACTATATCACTTGAATGGCACAAACACTGGCATTTTTGAGAGTAACCCACAAAAGTACTACGAACTGATATAAGTGTAATGATTATAAATCAATGAGAAATAAAGTTATTATGTGGTTGCTATATTCTTTTTGACTATATGACAACAGTGGTGTAGCCGAGTGGTTAACGTGTCAGACTAGTAGTCTTATGATCGCTAGCAGCATTAGTTCAAACCCCGTCAGGGCAAGTCGCTGTTTCCTTTAGCAGTAAAATTTACTCTAATTGATCAGTACTTGATGGTTCTAGGAACAGATTTGAAAATGCGTCTATACGCTTAAAGCTTTCTTCTCTATCGAACTTAAATAAATTTTGTATAACCCAACAGTGGTGGCTTGGTCCACAGATGAGTTCGTTTACTTGATAGTAAAATCCTAAAAACATATTCTTCTCTTTGAAGAGTTAATAAGCCAACATTTAAGAGTATATAACCTCCACTTTTAAGCCTCTACTTTGAAGAGTACATAAACTGAACTTTGAAGAGCACAATACCTGTATTTTGAATACAGTAGTACTAACTAAAACACAGAGTGGCAGTTTTTTTTTTAAAGAAAGGACCACATTAAATGGCAATACAGTGCTCGTGCATTTCATATTCAAGTTGATCATATTCGGTATTTTCCTACATTTCAATAATTTCTGTATTAACAGTTTTTAACCTAAATATGAGCATACTGTATCTGGGGCGTCCGTGGCCGAGTGGTTAAGGTCGTTGACTTCAAAACCACTTGCCCCTCACCGCTATGGGTTCGAATCCCGATAGGGACTTTTGATTCCTTCATGTGAGGAAGCTATCCAGCTAGCTTACGGAACGTCGGTGGTTCTACTCAGGTGCCCGTTCGTGCCTGAAATAATGCACGGAAGGGCACCTGAGGTCTTCCTCCACCAGTAAAGCTGAAACGTCGCGATATGACCTATACTGTGTCGATGTGACGTAAAACTCAAAACAAACAAACAAAATATTGACCGATAGCTTAAATTAGACACTCTTTGTAGGAAGATTATTAGGAACGTTATATATATTTTCCTACAAGTTAAGTAAAACAATTACGTAACTTGATTGCATGCTTTGTAAGCTGAATGCTATTATTTGTTTCTAACAATATTTTTATTAAATTATATTTCATACGGTTTAAAGTCTAAGAAAACTATTACTTAGAGTTTCCTTATTTCTTAAAAAGTAACTTCTATTATCAAAGCTTTAATTAAAGCGTGTCCATTAAATTTCTCTAAATGGAGCATTTTGACCAGGTTTATCGCTGCACCAATGAAGTCGTCCACACCCTTTCCCGTACCAATTGTGGTAGACACAAAGTGCCCGATCGTGCAATATTTAAGATACGAAATAATACAATCCACCTGAGATGAACCTACGACATTCTGTAAGCTAGCTGCATAGCTTCCACACATGAAAGAATACAAAGCGGTATTTGAACCCAGAGCATTGAAGTTACCTACTGGGCTACGGTTGTCCCTCTTGTCAGGAATGCATTTAAATGATAATTACTATAATTTCAGATGCTAAATATATTAAGTTACAGTGCCCGTAAATAATACAGTCAAACCTTTAAAATTCGGGAGTATTGATTCAGATGAAATACCACTCAAACAGGCGCTAGATGATGGAGAGATGTTAAATCTACAATAAACAGACTTTACAATTATTCGTTCACTATACGAAGAAAATTGTTTAATGTGCGTATACTTGTACCTTTATATGCAGTTATATTTGAAATGCCATCATTAAAATCCATTTTACCTATACATGGGAATTTAATGATATCATAATAAAACAGTACATTTTTTCTCCGCAAAATTATGTTTAATGAACAGAACAGAACTAGTTTTATCTGTACCGTATTTGTGAAGTATTATACTATAACGGACGCATTCAAAGTCTGTGATCGAAGTGTGAAGTAAAGGGCCGATAAGTTTGACCTCACTAGTATGGACGTAATACTACATTTTCATAATTACCCTATTAATATGATTTTTCAATCTTTGGAATTCTCATATTTATTCGGTATTGTGGCTGATTTGTGCCATGCTATACTTTCACTACGCGGGGCTCAGTGCGAAAACACGATTCCTATTATTATGGGTTTGGGGCGGGAGTGTATTGGATTTTTCGCACCAACACTGTAAGGTCAATTGGTGACACTTCCGCTTTACTGGTGGAGGAAGGCGTCAGGTGCCCTTTGTGAATTATTTCAGACACGAGCGGACCCCTTAGTAAAACCACCGACGTTCCCTAAGCTAGTTGGTTAGCTTGCTCACATGAAAGAATCTCCGTTGGGATTTGAACAAACAGTGGTGACGGGTAAGCTGTTTGAAGTCAACGACCTTAACCACCTCGCCCAAATCAATGTTATTATATCTCACCGAGATCATTTACTAATAGATTAAATCAGTTCATGTTCATGTCAACTTATACATGGAAAGAAATCTACAAGTAAAGATAAGATCGTTTATGAGTTACGTCTCAAAATTAATAGCCTACTCTAAATGTTTCCAGTTTGATCGAAAAATGTGTTTAATATTTTTGACATTATGTCATATAATCTTATATTGATAAAGTTTGACTTTATCAAAATTTACTAAAATATATATTATAGACGCAACGCTGGCTGACATATAAATACGGTGTATTATGTATTATTATGTTACAATATCGTTGGCGCATGTGCAGTAGTGACCAGAAAAAATTATATATTTGTTTACAATCTAAGAATGACAAAAATGGGTGCTTTTTTAAAATTATATTTGTCCACCATTAACTGTATTTCTTTTTACTTAGAATTCAAGTATAAATAACTTGACGAATATCTTTTACAGCACATAAGGTTGATCAGTTGTTATAAGCAAGTTTCCTTTTTTACTATATACAATTTAATCTTTAAAAAATCAAGCAGAATACATTGTATTTCAACTCACTTTTTGATTAGTGTTTGTTTGTTTTGCTTTTAGTTTATCTTTTTTTTTTAATTAATTCTGACATTCACAATAGCAGGTGCAAAAGAACTGTTATGGGCGTCCGTAACAAGGCTTCCAATATTTCACCTAAATATGTTTTGGCAAAAAATCGTTCTTTGAAATCTTGCCAAAACGTAGCCTTTGCTTCAAAAATGTTTTTCGATAATTAGCGAGACAGAATTCTGGTCAGACGAAATTAAGTATTTGGAGGTTGTAGATCAATTGCTTTATTGTTGTGTTTAACGTCGTACAAACACAGTATAGGTCATATGGCGACTTCAGCTTTTACTGGCACAGGAATAACTAAGGTGCCCAGTCCGTACATTAGTTCAAGAACAAAGGATACCTGAGTAGAACCATCGACGTTCCGTAAGCTTAATAGATAGCTTTAGCTTTATCACACGTAGAATTTGAAGAAGCTGGCACGGCTAGAGCCTACACTTATCTGAGTTAAGTAGTTTGAAGTAAGCGAGCTTAACCACTCGGCATCGGGCTGAATTGATTGAGCAATCATTAGTCGTGGGAATGATCTTACAATGTTCATGTACTTACTATTATTATTTTACAAATAAAAGGGTCGCTGTAAATCTTATCTTGTAGGTTACTGCGGAAAATATTTTTGAACATCAACTGTATGTTTGACAATCAGTCCTGTATATTGGACTATTGTCGTTGTTTGTACAATTTACGTAAAGGGAATGTTGGCATTTCTAAATGGTCAGAATGGTAAGTTATTTCTATTTCTTAAACATTAAACTTTAAATGCCAAAAGCCATTGTATCTAAACGCTTAAAAAAGATGAGAGTTTACATAAATTATTAAATAAAAGCGGTGCTTTATTGAGTTATTGAATTTCTGATATCTAGAGAAACAAATTAAAATAAACAAATAAATATTTTATTTATGTCGTTAGAAAAAGAAATATAGTTCTAAATATATATTTGAATCCATACATTACCCAATTATAACTGTGAAAAAGATGAAAAGTACCATTAAGAATATGTTTGTTATATATTTTATGAATATTAAAGTGAATTGGTCCAAAATGGAACGATTTTAATATCATACCAAACCACTTAAAATAAAAGTTGTACAAACACGTTCCCTTAATCTTAATATTCATTGACAAACAACACGAAAAATTTCAGGTAATTTTACATAGTGACTTCTGATTTTATATTTATGAAGAAAGGAACTTAGATATCTATACATGTAAATATTCATATACGTAAATCTTTTATTTTGACAAGCAATACCGTCGTCTGGCTTCCAACTATTTTGATAAGAAGGCCTGGGTCACCGTTTTATGCTTAAATTAACGAAATTATGTCAATGACTTTAAAGTAATGACAATAAAGTTTATAGGGTAAATTATTGCCCTTAAGAATACTTTATAAACATTTGTTTTGTTTGAAATTTGAATTTTTGTTTTGTCGAATAAAGCTTGATACATACATACATACATACATACACACGTACGTACGTACGTATGTACGCGCGAGCGCACGAACGCACATACATACATACATACATACATACAATTCAATATGTAGCAGGTCTTGCAAGCCTATACAATTCAATATATACCATGTCTTGCAAGCCCATACAATTAAATGTGTATTATTTCTTGCAATTCTATACTATTTATTGTGTACCATGTTTAGCAAGTCAATACAATTCAAAGTGTAGCAGGTCAAACAATGAGAAACACCTTCCAATAACCTTAAACCTTTCTTTTGATTTTGTTTTATTTTGTGACTTTAGTCCAAAATATACATACCGAATTGCGCCGTAGACTTAAAGGTGCATAGGTGGATATTTGTCCATGTTTGTATTTAACGGTACATTTGCATACAGCAGTTTTATTATACAAGGTGGCCAAAGAAACACTAAAACCATTCATCCACTATCGAGAAGTGGTTTGTCCACTACCATCATCAGCACTAGTTTAACATGCGGAAAGTCTTGTAAAAGTTTGACTGTATCTTTACTTTCTCGTTTGAACAGGAAGAGCACTGCTTTGTCTACTTTGTATATGCTTACACTTTTGATATTTAATTGGATGCGTTATATTTATTTTCCTTTGATCATTTATTTGTTTCTGTTTTAGGTTAACATTTGGCATTTGCTGATAGCAATTATATTGAGTTGCAGCTATGCTGTTACGGAAAAAACAATAGGTAAAAAAGATTTAATAATCATGAGCATTTTTTGATAGATGAGAAATTACGTTTCGTTACAAGATAGTATGCAAACACATTCTTTGCATGCATAACCTGAATATTGTTTATAGAAAAAAATGTAATTAGGTGTAGCATAAGTGGGAGCCCGCCCCCTAGTGCGAGGCAACAGTGAAATACCACTACTTTTATCGTTTCTTTACTTATTCAGTGAGGCGGGGACCGGAGCGCAAGCTCCCAGGTTCTGGCGCTAAGCGGGCGCCCTCTGTCGGCGCCCGTGACCCGCTCTGAAGACCTTGTTAGGCACCGTAAAGGAAGGGTATAAATATATAAGTACACATGTACTTATCCAATATTTACATCTAGCTTCTTTTGTTCTTATCCACATTATGCCTCATATTCGAATACATTTTCGCTTCCTTAGAAAGGGCAAACATTATTTTAATAACATATAAATAATAGTTCTAGAGCATGTTACATGTATGTGCTTGTCAACTTAAAAGGTAGCAATACATGTGAAATAATTTGTCACAAGAGTAAGAAAATGTTAATAAGGTAGCTTTTTGACTACCGTACAAAATACTTAATCACTGTAAGTATATGTAAGCAGCAGAAGAAAAAGATGGTTTGGAAATTGGTCGACGAGTATCGTTTCGGACACTATAATAGTACACCGAGAATAAAACTCTTTTTTAGAAATAAAATGAATAAATAAATAAATATGTTTTAAATGTAATATGTCAAGACTTACAAATGTCTGAATACATGTGTTAGCTATCAATTCTAATACTAATACATGTGTGGCGTCGTAGCCGAGTGGTTAACGCTTCGAACTAGTTATCTAAAGATTACTAGTCGCGTAGGTTCAAACCTCGTCAGGGGTAAGCCGTCGTTTCTTTGAGCAGCAAACTTTCCTCATTGCCAAGTACTTGTTGGTGTCAGAAACGGATCTGAGAGTTTATAAGCTTTTAGATTTCTATACCGTCTAACTAAAATAGAGTTTGTATTAGTTAAATATATTACTACTTTAGATACGAAGAAAAGATTCGTCTTGCAAGACTCTACTTTACGTAATTACGACCCGCACACAGAGATCTCACTTTGCAAATGTTTCAATGACTGTCATCTTGATTCCTTCAATTTGAAAACTACAAGTATGTTTCTTCTCTATTTTACAAATTTGTGTTGTCGTTTTTCTGGATTTTACTCATTTTTAACACATTTTGTGGTCATATCTTGGCAATGAATCCAGTAATTACAATGTCCGAGATTGTTTATCACGGAGAATTAGGAACGACACTTGCTATAACATTACATGGTATGGTTTAATTATTACAATCAAAAGATGATTTGTTAGTAGATTCAATCTGATGAATTTCAAGAGATCGCTATCAATCGGAGGTAAAAAGGATATCACAGTCACCAAATTAAGAAACATTTGGCCATTTGAAATTATTGAGTATTCAATGCGAAACAAAATAGATAATTTTATCTGTATTTTAATAATGGGGAAAAGTTATACCCGCAAAAAGGGCAGCATTATTAGAATTCAGGACTGTTCAACGTCTCGATGAGGCAAATGTTAAACAATATTGTTCTGTTTAATGGCTTATTCTAATACATTATCGAGTTGCAAACGTGCATTGTGTATTTGTGTAATTCTAAATGATACACACGGAAACGAAGGACACGAAAACACGCAAAATGTGTTCTCTTAATATTGAAGCTTTTTAATGATACATTCTCAATTTAGATTTAATAAATGAAAATTTGTGCTTATCTATTAGTTTTATTTGTTTTATATCTTATTTTATTTATTTAGTTTTATCAAGCATTATTTCAGAAAATTATGTTGTAATAAAAGATTTCTTGCAGCATATGAATGAAGTGAGTTTCAGATATATTTTTCTTTGTTTCATATTTCAAAGATTTGACAAGATATAATCAGATCTGGAATGCAACTGATTGTTCAGGTATGACATAGCGTTACATATTCCAGGCGATAGTAATTTTTAATTTGACTAAAATCAGCTCCTAAATTACGCTACCCATTAGGATCTGACGGCCACCAATAGCTTGTCATACCGCGATCTTTCAAACAGCCAATCATCGAGAAAGCTTTCACAATTTTAAAAGCGATGTTGTTTGTAATTTTAACCACTAGAAAAATGATACTGAGAAGTTTATTTTCAAGAACAAACATGGCGTTGTCCATATCGCCTGCAGTTAACTGGCATAATTTCTTTTCATTCATTTTATGTCATTTTGTGAGTTACGGATTATTGTCCACGCTTTTTTACAAGATTTTATATTCTTGCTTACAGTTTGGAATGGCACGATAGAGTGACAATGAAAGCCCCCTTATCACCACATTAAAAACATTTACGAATGTTTCAAAATTCTTAACTTATAGCAATGTGTGTTCCTGTTTCCACGAAACGCCTTAAGCAGATGGTTATTTTGATATTTTTGATATCTTTATATTAATACAAACATTTTATGCATGAAAACATACAGGACCATATGCACGACCGGTGGGTCCATTTCAACTTCCAGAATTCACGATTTCAGCTTCATTTATTCAACTTCATGAATTCGACATTATGAATTTAACTTCACGATTTTAACTTTATGAATTCAACCTCGTGAGTTCAACTTCATGAATTCTGCTTCACGATTTCAACTTAATGTATCCAACTTCACGATTTCAGCTTCATGAATTAAACTTTATGAACACATGTTTTGAATTACACGATTTCAACTTCGTGAAGTTGAAATCGTTAATTTTTAAAGTTTTAGTGAAGTTGAATCGTGAATTCTTGAATTCTTGAAGTTGAGATCGTGAATTCTTGATTTCTTAATGTTGAAATCGTGAATTCATAAAGTTGAAATTGTGAATTTGTGATAATGAACCTGAAAATTGAAGAAGTTTTTGAAATGTCACCACATGCTTTTCTACATATGTAATATATCTTTATTCTGTAATGATTCAGGAGAAACAAGATGCGGATTAAGTGATCCATGCAAAAATGGTGGGCATTGTATTGACAAAGACCATGGTAATTTCTACACATGTAACTGTGAAAAGAACTTCACAGGCATAGATTGCAGCATCAAAGGTTAGCGCATGCGCATTTCCTTCAAAACCTATTCCTCGATCATTAAAAAAATCGTATGTTTCAAAGATTATGTCGAGTAGACGAGGCATATACTTTAATATAAACTAGGTCCATGTCTGTAATATTTTCCTGCTAAAAGATGTGTACAACTTGGTAAGTTTATATGAATCATGTGTCTATCTTGATATTCCGTTTTTGTCATCAGCATTATTGTTTGTTAATGTACGGGTATATTGCATTTACAATGTATGAATATTGAATGTTTTGTTAATTTTACATAATCTACATTTTGATTCATTTGGTTTTGTGTTGACGAGAAACAATATGTACATTGTATTACATCGATAATCAATTGACTGTTTATTTTACGAAGCCGATAGTAACGTTTGCCTTCATAATCCGTGTCTACACAATGGAACATGCAGTAATACTCAATCAAATAAAGTGAAATGTAACTGCCCACTTGGATATGATGGCCAGTTCTGCGAGAATGGTATTTATTTCAGCGCCATTTATTTACTTAATTTATATTTTTATATCGATATATATATAAATAAGTGGTGACTTAGTTTAACATTACAGTGGTGGCCTGTCAAACCTCAACCAATTATTTGGCATAGCGGTGCATGAAATAAGTACTGGTTAGCTTTTGGGAAGCGCAGTCGATAGTGGATGAGATGAGCTTCAAACTTTAATTAACATTGAGCTAAAAATAAAATTGTCGAAACTGACTTTCAATGTTTAAACCTTAATCTAAATATAATCGAGATTATTTCGTTACTATGCCTAAAACCGTATTTCTACTAAGTATGCTTGACCGGTGAAATCGGAATGGAAGTAAGTTATCTATTTAAAATACGTCGTCTTTTCTTCCTTAACATCCATAATCTCTGGCAAAGGTATGGGTATTTCTTACTGTATGTTATGCTAAACAAAAAATTAAACTAATTTGTGTAATATGTTAAAACAACCTCGTCTTAAATAATCCAAAATATACTATTGGAATCACCCTAATTATTTTAAATTTATTGTTCTTATGACTACAGAAAATGTAACAGATAATCGTAATTTAAGTATTTACTGGTATAATGCGTTTACTAAACGTCGCCAATGACTCAATTCAATGTAAATTGCCAATTGTACATGTAGATATCTATAGCATAATGTTATGTTACTTATGATGAGTCATTGTAAAAAAATCTATATTTTTAAAGAATATTGTTTCTCTCACGATGTTTCCTTTGCCCTTTCCCATTGAGCTACAAACACAATACAGTCATGTATTATTAACACAGACATAGACGAGTGCGACCAGTTCCATCTTTGTCAAAATGGTGCGACTTGTCATAATACCGATGGTCACTTTCAATGCATTTGCCTTGCTGGTTGGAGCGGTACCCTTTGCGAGACTGGTAACTTTTTCATTTACATCAACTTTACAAGAACACATTTGTTTAGTCTTTCTGAAATTTGTGAGTCAGATATTGAGAAAATCAACCGAATTTGTTAAATGGTTTCAGGTGCAACTGTTAGGGTGTGTTTGTTAAGCTTGAGAAAACTCGTTTGAAAAAATTATAGCCACGGTCATAAACGACATTTTTGCATATTTTTATTACAGGATATATTTGATAAAGAGTGAGACTAAAAAGTGTTGGAGCCGTATTCCGGTATATAACGGACAAGGCGCTTAAATGAATGAAATAAATGCTGAAATCTTGCCTTTTCACTCAAAGAAATGTACATTTAAATGTTTTATACACATCTTCACATCAATTTATATACGATAACGAATAAAATAATATAAGAATGGACGAACAGAAGAGGTATTTTTCTGCCTTGTGATCATGATTTCTGCAAGCGTCTTTAGGTACTGCTCAATACTGTTGTGATAAGTCTATTTTGGTACATTTATGATTGAAAATATGTCTGACAAAAATATTTAAATTTAAATGTGCCCACAAGCTGATGTTACTATTTTAAACAAATCCGATATAATGTCAACAGGTTAGTGTCTTGTACTTTCGGTTTCTACAATCATTATAATAAATATATAAATAATGTATCTTTTGCTATTGTTTTTATGAATTCACCTCTTTTAGGTGGACTTGATATATTGGAAATAAACTTGTCATCTCAGCATTAAATTACTATTTGTTTACATGTTTAGTCCGAAATACCGTATCCGTTCTGTGTATTCATGATACGAGCGTATTGTGTTCGAGGTGAAGACTTACGGAAAGGGCCGAAAAGTTGCGATTCAAATTGTATTTGTCTGTGTGTGGAGTGAGTTGATTTACATCTTCAGTTTATCTTTTTTTGCTCAGATGTGGATGAATGCTCATCAAACACTTGCTTGAATGGAGCCACGTGTAATAACACACCAGGCGGTTATAATTGCACATGTGGGTCAGGATGGACTGATGTAAACTGTGACACAGGTAAATAACATTTTCAGATTGAAATTAAATTATTAGTTTGCGAGATATAAAACAGGCTATAATAACAGATAAGAGACTTTTGTATTCGGTTTTTTGAGCTTTTTCAATTTTGAAATTCCTGTTTAATAGATTGGCGACTAGGAAGCTGTGGTCGGGCGGACGTCAGACATGTGGTTTCCTGTCTATAACTAAAGTTAGGAATAATATTATGCAATAGCAAATTTATGTAGAGACCTCGCGTGGGATTTGTTACTTAAAACACGGTATCTGATCAATAAATTATTGCATGCAAATAGCAAGCTTACTAAGAGACCGTGCATTTGACTTCTTTTAATCCTCTTGTGGGTTTGGTGGTGGGAGTCAAGGTCGCTGTTACTTAAAATAAAAAATGGTTTCCGGTCGATATCTAAAATTAGAAATTAGATATAGTAATAACAATTGATATTTATAAATTGATTTTGGCCCTCCTAAGGTCAATGTCAATGTCTTTGTTTACAAAAAATTGAAAAATGATTTCCAGTCAATAGCCGGAAGGAGTTAGGAATCTTTTCACACGGTGTTACACCGTTAACAATAGAATGATCTACGTCTTGCGCGTTTTACAGGTATTTTTATGTAAAAGTTTGTTTGTACGTGGAAAACTCAATATATGTTAAATTTCGGAGTATATTTGTTGCTAAGGAAAATGTTCTAGCTACACTAGCTAAACACTTTTGCACACGATGTAGACATGTATGTTAAATTATACACATTCAATTCGGTTAAATTTAACCACTTGGTTACGTATAAATTTTATTAACCAAATGTATAAAAATTGGATAAAATTTAACCGGCGTAACATTTTGTTTCAATTAACACTTGTGTGGGAGGGGGATTGAACTTATTAACCAAAATTTAACCAGAAATAGAAACGGCTGTCGTTAATCTACTGCGTCTTAATTTTCATTCACATTTGTATAAAAGTAAACAATAATGGTCTTATATGATGGTAACTCTATTAGAAATCATGATATGATGGTAACTCTATTAGAAATCATTTAGAACTCTATGTATTTGCAGTTAAAGAGACACGATTTTGTTACAATAGTAAATTAATACATTATTTTATTTTCCGGACAAGATGTCAACGAGTGTATGAATAGCCCTTGTATAAACAATGGAACATGTAATAACCTTAATGGAACCTACGACTGCGCCTGCCCCTCAGCATGGACCGGCACTAATTGTGAAACAGGTAAGTGTGATCTTCTGCCATTCATTTAAAGAATATATCATACAATTTACTTGCACTCATTCAGTACCCTCTAATCTGATTTTATATCACATCACATAAAAATCAAGATGTATTTTAAAAGATGTGTTTAAATCATTGAATGCTATGCCATGTCTTTTACAGATTTAGACGAGTGCCAAACCTTTAACTCAAAAGGGTTTTTATGTTGGAACAACGCAACGTGCACAAATTCGATTGGTGGCTACACGTGTAATTGTGCAATTGGTTGGAAAGGACTATTTTGCAAAAAAGGTATGCATATTTAAATAGTGTATGCATATAACTGGAATTTTCGCCTTTTAAAGATTACTGCTTATTTTCAAGAAAAAAAGGAAAATCTATTTAACAATATTATACAATGTACATGTATTATCAAGTGAACAAAGAATGTTATCAACACATTGCAAACACCAATCTTTACTTGAACTTGAAATGTTTCCTAATATCTTATTTTTTAAGTTGATTTTCGTGAATCTTGTGGCTTATCTTGATGCTTTAAGCCTTTGTCTTGTTAAGAATGGAGAAAATCAAGGACAAAAGCCGTTGATAGTGAATAAAAAAATGACATCTTCATAAAGGAGTGCATGTAATTGACGAATGTTAGAAGTAATTTGTAAATGTACGGAGCAATCTTCAAATGAATTCATACTTGAGCATGGAAATATGTATAAAATATATACAGTTATAAAAATTAACTGGGTAAAATATGGGTATTTTTGTAAATGGGACCAATAAAAGAAAAGAGAATTGTGATACTAAAAATACAATACTGACTTGAAATTAAATTATCAAGACTAAATTTAAACATGTGTCGACTATTCTCCTATACTTAAGATCCTAATTTTTCTTTTTTGTTGTTGTTTTTTTTTATCAATTAATGTCGTCATCTTATCATTTTGATTTTGAATCTTGTAGAAAACCACGATTGTGACAGTTCACCGTGTGGAAATAATGGAACTTGCTCTCTTACACCATCTGGATTTAATTGCACATGCCCAGAAGGATGGGAGGGACAAGCATGTGCTCACGGTGAAAAAAACCAAAACGTTTTAACATAATGTGTTTATGATGTGTTACGGGAATGTTTTAAAGAAATCGTTATTTAAATAACTATTCATATAACGATTCTTTATGTTATGATATATTTTTCCTTTTTTTCTCTTTCATTTTATCAAAGGTTTTACAAATGATATGATATATTTAGACACAGTACATAAAAAATCGATACTTTTCAAAAGTTAAACGTACTGTCGTTATTGTGACTCATATTTCGGACTCATGCCAGCATTAAAAGAACACCCCTGAGTTTTTTTGACACGATGGGATTAAACATTATTTCAAGATAAATGTTCCATTTTGATATAAGATTAGACCAACATTATCTTTATGTTTCTGGACTTTTGAACCTCAGTGGAGTTCGTTTATTCGTTTAATTACCTTTGATACTTTAGAAAAAAAAACACGAATTATGCACGCGAGCGTTATTTCAACTGTTGCCACTATATTACATTAAAAGTCGTGCTATTGTTACAACAACAACAACAACAACAACAGCAACAACAACATATTTAAAGGTTATTATAATATTTTTACAGATGCTGATGAATGCATTTTACAACCTTGTTTGAATAATGGTACGTGTTCTAATACAGAGGGTAATTATAGCTGTAAATGCAAACCTGGATGGACAGGCACACACTGTGATACAGGTAAATATTTATTGGCAAGATTGACCTGAAACATTTCAATATTCATTATGTCCTCTGAATTTAAATATTCAGTTAAAATTGACCTGTGATTGAAAATAAATTCCTAAGATATTTAAATATTCATTATACATGTATCATCAAAGTTTTAATAATCATTGCATTGACCTTCTTCCGTAGTGATTGGCAATATATTCCTTAGATATTTGAAAATTCAGTTTGCCATCAGAATTTCAATATTCATTACATTGACCTTCTTCCGTGGTGATTGGCAATATATTCCTTAGATATTTAAGAATTAATTATGCCATCAGAATTTCAATATTCATTACATTGACCTTCTTCCGTAACTTAGGGCCCAGTTACACAGACGGTCGGTCCCCAATCGGTCATTTAATTTTAAATTTACTCGCTGTTATGATCGGTTGTCATGCGTGATTTTTATCTGGTTATCTGTGTAAACGGCCATCGGTGACAGAAAGCAAACTCAAACGGGAATGGGTCGATGATTAAATGCTGAAATACTTTTGGTTTTTATCGTTTGTAAATCGGAGCTAAATCGGGCGTAACGCTGATTAACCGGTGTTTGATAGCTAGTCATCAGTGGTTAAACACTTTCCGTCAGATATGGCCGGTGATTCATATTTGGTCACCTTTGTCCGATCGGCGATATCGGTGATTAAGAGCTTGCACATCTCGTGATATAGGTTGCCGTCGGTAATTTTTAAAATATTTTCACCGATCGAGAATTTTAAACGTGTTTAAAAGTCCCAATCGGTAATTTTTCACCGATGAAACTTATCTTTCCCCAATAGCAGTTGATAGGTGGAAAACAGGTGACCAATAGGTGATATCGGTGATAAATACGTTGTCATCGGTTCACTCCATAATTTGGCTAAAAAAACTACCGATCAATCACCGATGGCTCTGTGTAACTGGGGTGTAAGAGTATGAGAGCATCAGTGTAACTTAATGTAAAATCTTCTCATGTTAACATGTAGATCTAATAGAAATCGATAGGAGGTCACCCTCTTGTGACCTTTCAATCAGCCAATCAGTGGCCGCGTTCACGATCATGCAGCGGTTTAGTTTCTATTTTTAAGAGTTTATAAACAAGAAACTTCTGCGCGATTTTCACAATTTCAAGATATAGCAGGTGAACAAAAAGGCAAAGCCCACGTTTTTTTTAAATAAATATTCTAAAATTGACACTTACATAATGAAAATGATAGAATATAATTACGTTCCTAAAATTGAAATGTCTGTCTTAATTTGAAAATCGTGTTGAATCTGATGATCTGGTTCGTTCATAATTTCAAATATTTTTGTAGAAAAAGTTTAATATAAAATTTCATTCGGTTTTCGTCATCTGGTTCAAAACCATAGAAGAAACCAAACCGCCGAATTTTCTGTTTGTGTATCTATAATGTACAAGACATATAAACTTAACAAATCCACAGTGTTGTTAATGACACAAACTGTCAGGAAGAATCGGGATAAAAATAAATCTATAAAGAAAATACATGTGTGTTGAATTTGATTCGTCCATATTCGAAATATAATTCCAAAAGCCAAACGAGAAGTTGACGGCCTGAGCACTTCTTTTTTTAAATACAACATCCGAACTGAATATTCATAATAACATTGATTTACTCTTCTGATTCTAGACTATTCCCAGAGGTCACAGATATCAAGAGGATTAAATTTTTCGTTTGAGAGAAATATTGAATATATATTCACGAAACATGATAAAAGGCGTATATTTTCATGAGCCAGAAGGCAAGTCAAAATATGTGTCATTTTATCACGTTGAGTGATAATATATACCATATTTCATGAAGAACGTAAAAATAACCTTTTTATGTAATTTCATTATCAGAGAAAAATGGTTTCGAATCTCCTTGCGGTCTTGTTTTGACTGTTTTTGCACGCGCAGCTTGACGTCACGTAAACAACTATTTAAACATCTGTACAGCGTTAATGACTGCATTTAAGATATTGGTGTTCGGATTTATTTTCTTAGACCATTTTCTATTGTTGAATTAGATTTTAAAACAAAATTCAACAAAAAGTTGCTTTTTTATTTATCAGATTTTTCAAACAAAATGGCGAAAGAAGTCCCTTAAAATAAATATGAGTTTTGACTCACTTTCATATTTATATTTCATATTTATTTTTAACAAATACGAAACATACTAGACTTATATAGCACCATATATCAGGGGTAAAAATAAATAATATTATATACAATTTCAGACCTTGACGAGTGTTCGCAATCACCTTGCCAACATAACGCCACATGTACAAATTTTGATGGAGGATTTAACTGTAACTGCACTGACGCATGGACAGGTCCAATCTGTGTAAAAGGTTTGAGTTAAAAAAAGCCAATACATTATGTATACCTTGATATGAGGAAATTCATTTTTCCAAGAAAGCAGTTACTTTTAAACATTTATTGTGTTTCTACATGTACACTGTAATTGTTACCAAGATCACTAAAGGCTTATTGACAGATTCAGATTTTAAACTATGAAAATGAAATTTTGGTGTACAAAATATTTCATATATGATTAAATATAGATGTGGATGAGTGCTTAACAAATAATCCGTGTAAGAATAACGGCACGTGTTCCAACTTGCCTGGGGGATATAAGTGCGCATGCTTAGCTGGATGGACCGGAAGTAATTGTAACACAGGTACTTTTATTTGTTTTTGTTTTTTGTTTTTTTATAGTATCAAAAATTGAACTCAATTTCAATTTTTGATACTATACAGTACACACGTATTGAGATTTTGTGCTCGATTGTGTGCACATTATACATGTAATACACCCCTGATGAAGGCATAATACGCCGAAAGTACTTGGGTATATATATATATATATGAGGAAATTCTTTTTTTTTTTCAAGAAACAGTGAGTTTAAACTTTCAAACATAAATTGTTTTGTTAATTGTTACAAAAATCACTAAAGGCTTATTGACAGATTCAGATTTTAATGAATGAAAAAGAAATCTTGGTTTACAGCCGAACAATTCCATGACACAATATCTCTTGTATATGATTGAATATAGATGTAGATGAGTGCTCAACAAATCTATGTCAGAATAATGGCACGTGTTCCAACTTACCTGGGAGATATAACTGTTCATGCACATCAGGATGGACCGGAAGTAACTGTGACATAGGTACTTTCATTTCTTCTTGCTGCTTCGAAACTATTATAGTCATTTTAAGTTCATCCTTCCTGAGAATATTGGGACAATCCTACTTTTTAAAGATTTTGACGAATGTCACAAACACCCGTGCAAGAACAGTGGGGCCTGTTTGAATAAAAATGGCGGATACACCTGTAATTGCCCGCCATATTTGACAGGGCAAATGTTTTGAATTAATTGTATATATTTTTGGTCGGACAATGAGAATCGATGTTACATACGAGTACATGATTTATTTGTAATAAGTGTTTCTTTAAGGAGTATTTGATTGGCTTATAACCGTATATCTAAAATGATATATAATGCATTATCGTGTGAATATATTCATTCCCTTATTGGATGTAAATAAACTTATGCATACATAGGCACAAAGATTATGTTTTCTAAAGATTTTATTTGCTGAATAATTTTTACTTTCAAAAAGAGCTATATTCCATAAAAATAGTTTATGAGTCTTCGATTATAATATCGACCCGACAACTTGTATAAAGTTTTAAGTGAATACTTTCAGTAATTTTGAAGATGTTACATGCAAAAAGTGAAAACAAGAATGAACTATTGATGTTGTAATATATAAATTTCATATATATATAAATATGAGGAAATTCTTTTTTATTCAAGAAAGCAATGAGTTGAAACTTTAAAACATAGATTGTCTTATTTATTGTTTCCAAGATCACTTAAGGTTTATTGACAGATTCAGATTTTAATGAATGAAAAAGAAATATTGGTTTACAGCCGAACAATTCCATGACACAATATCTCTTGTATATGATTTAATATAGATGTAGATGAGTGCTCAACAAATCTATGTCAGAATAATGGCACGTGTTCCAACTTACCTGGGAGATATAACTGTTCATGCACATCTGGATGGACCGGAAGTAACTGTGACATAGGTACTTTCATTTCTTCTTGCTGCTTCGAAACTATAGTAGTCATTTTAAGTTCATCTTTCCTGAGAATATTGGGACAATCCTACTTTTTAAAGATTTTGACGAATGTCACAAACACCCGTGCAAGAACAGTGGGGCCTGTTTGAATAAAAATGGCGGATACACCTGTAATTGCCCGCCATATTGGACAGGGCAAATGTTTTGAATTAATTGTATATATTTTTGGTCGGCCAATGAGAATCGATGTTACATACGAGTACATGATTTATAAAGTGTTTCTTTAAGGAGTATTTGATTGGCTTATAACCGTTTATCTAAAAACATATATAATGCATTATTGTGTGAATATATTCATTCCCTTATTGGATGTAAAAAAACTTATGCATACATTGGCACAAAGGTATTTTCTAAAGATTTTATTTGCTGTTAAAGTGACACTTGATTGGGTTATGTTATAAAAAAAACATGGAAACACGAGGCTATTTGATTTGTACGAAGGGGCGTAGATTGCCGATTTTTTTTATGTTCTTTCTTTTTTGTATCATAGGCAAAACTAGAAATGTGTTCATAGGACAAGGGTGCCCCCACACTCCACCGATTTGTCAATCTTATGTTTCTAGGTCTTTTTTTTTTGCTAATAATCCACATAAAAATACCCAGGTGCACAACTTCACATGCTGAGCAACATTATCGTAAGGTTGCATGACCCTAGGTCAAATACTTTTTTAGTTACGTCCGACACAAGTTGAAAATTGGAAATTTTTACTTATTCAAAGGCAAGAACTCTAAAAATACTTAATGTATCCACATGCAAATACCAAGGTGCATAACTTCACACGCTGATCAACTTTCCAGTAAGGTTTCTTGACTCTAGGTCAAATATATTTTTAGTTACGTGCGACACAAGTTGAAAATTGCAAATGTTTACTAAGTCAAGGGCAATAACTCTAATAATGCTAAATATATCCACATGAAAATACCCAGGTGCACAACTTCACATGCTGATCAACATTCTTGTAAGGCTTCATGACTCTAGGTTAATAACTTTTTGAGCTACATACGACACAAAAAGAGAACGGACAGACGGAAGGACGGACGTTCTTACAGGAGAGTAATAATGTGGCTACTCTATTGTTCTCTCTATTGTTCTTTTAGCCACACAAAAGAAAATAGCCACATAAAAGCATTACAGAATAAATGACATCAAAGAGAAAGAACAGTTACCTGTTGTCCCTCTAGCCACATAATTACTGTCCTGTGGGTGCGGATGGACGGATGGACGGACGAACGGACAAGGGTAAATCTATACCCCCCCCCCCCTATGGTGGGGGCAAAATAAAAAAACGTTCCTTGTTGTCACAATATGATAAATATGATACAAGTAACTAATTAATGGGCACCTGAATATATAATATTTCTATCGATATCCCTTTCTCTGCCAACACAATAAGTAAACCCCAGCAAAAATGAGCCAATCAATGGGTATGCTCTGGGTAACCTGCACTCCAGTTAACGCACTGTGCATGTACATTTGTATATGTAAACGATTTAACCCTGACACATGTTCAACAAAAAGGTCTCCAAACTAAGATACAACGTTTCTTATACTAGAGTATCAGATACGATGTTAGATGCGTTGTGTTGTGATATATTCTTTTTTTAAACCAGATTTAGACGAGTGTGCGATATTTAACTCTAGAGGGCTTCTGTGTCGCAATGGTGCTACTTGTACAAACGAAATTGGTTCCTTCAAATGTAACTGTAGCGAAGGATGGACAGGACGGTTTTGCTCGGAAGGTATGTATTCGGTCTGTTTATATCATTTTTAATAATCATCTTTAACACTGTTATATATTCCTAATAATTTCATTGGCCTAAAATGGTATACATTAACCATAAATTGCTTATTTCCGATATTTGTAACATGTCTTGGACAAATTTGTGGAAACAAACAAACAAAAACAAACAAAAAACAATATAATTTTCGGATCGCTGTCACAATACTGACCGTTCACATATTTTATAAGCAAGGTTTTCCAAAGTTGAAAAAAGATAGGTAGCGTAAAGCTTCGTAAATTTCTGGGTTTTTTTGGCAACATATATGTTACCCTTTCGTCGTATTAACATGTTTTCGAAAGGGAAATCATATTGTCGAAGCATTGTCCGTGTTTCTGTCACACTCTTGTCTTGACAATAGTAATTTGACAAAATCGTCGACCAGTTAGAGAAAGAACAGTGTTTTAGAGAAAGTACATTGCCCAAAAACTATAAAATCATTGAAACACCACATGATTATAAAGACTAGTGAGCGTAAGTACTTTATTTATGTCCCTTTATGATACATAATTAAATTATAATGTTTGGCTGGAAATTATTTTGAAACGTGAGAGATGGGGTACATTGTTCAGGAACCATAATGACACATTGCTTGAATTTTGAATTATCTTCCTGTAAAACTCTTCATCATTCAAGTTACTCTTTTGCTTAAATAATCTTTATTCATTGACAATGGTCTTTCATATTTGTGTTGAACATTTCTTTGGTAGTCTTATAAATAAAGGTGTAGTTAAGAGTCACTTTGGTCAAGGTCATGATGCTTTAACTTTGGCACTACGATAAAAGTCACTTATACTTGATTACATTTTGTTACACATCCATAACATATTTGCTATTACAGCTTTCATTTAATAACTGATGTCTTTCATAGCTATTTAGTAGGTAAATATCCCGTGGGGTCCTATGATTTTGAGAGGAGGGAGAAGAAGTCACTAGTGCATTAAGATTTTTACACGGGCAATGCTGCTCTGATTTATTGACTGATAGCATATTTGATATAGGTAGATAATCTAACTTTGGTTTAGTAGGGTCAATGTCAACGATGCTTAGAATATATTTTGTTAGCACACGTTTGCGCCTACCCGTTATTCGGGCAATAGATTGAAATAAGAATCCCTAAAGAAAGTCCAATACAACATAATTGAAAATGTTGCAGGCTCGGTTTGATTGACCCGTACCTGCGTATTTATAGACATGTATATAACCCAAACCAAATCTAACAACATTTTTGAGACCGTTGTTCTATAAACGAAGATTATTTTTTCTAAATGTAATATAGAGATAAGATTAAAAAAAAGAAAAGCTTATATTGTCTTTATGGTTTATATATATAGCCTATGCACACTTTTTGCTGTAGATATCGATGAGTGCAACAGTTCGATCTGCGGTGCATATGGAAAGTGTAACAATTCAATCGGAAATTTTACTTGCACATGCGCAGATGGGTTTGAGGGTAAAACGTGCGAAGGTTTGATTTGTTACATATTTTTCATTTATTAGCGTCTGGAGAATGATTTTTCTATATAATTTTTTTTTCTCTTATAAAGCAATTAAATTTATATAGAACTCTCACTAATTTTAAGTGTTTTGTCGATGATGTTGATCATGAAAACATGTTACGTTCATTATTCTCCATACTTGTTATTATGCTTAGATTATGCTTATAAATATTTTTGCATACTCTAGTTCTTTAAATATATCAAACCACTTGCTTCTCACGGCTGTGGGTTTGAATCCCGGCAGGGACTTTGGATTCTTTCATGAGAGGAAACTATCCAGCTAGCTTACGAAACGTCGGAGGTTAACCTCTGGTGCTTGTTTGTGCCTGAAAGGAAAGGGCATCCCAGGTCTTACTCCCCAATAAGGCTGGAACGTCGCCATATGACCTATGCTGTGTCGGTGTGACGTAAAACATAATCAAACAAGTAAATATGCGTAAATTGTTTAAAACACGCACAACCCCAACAATTTTCATCCGATGTTTTGGGTTATCTATCATATACAAATACTGCAAAGTTAATATAAATATGAAATGATATTAAAAACAAAACTATTGCCTAGGTATTGAATATGCACCTTGATAGATTTGCCTGCGTTATTGCTGTGATAATACATGTATGTACATTGTAAGTTTGTCCGAATCGGATAAGCGGGGTTTTGTTTGGATTTTTCCCCGTTATTTTTTCCTTTTCAATCATGGTTAAGCATAATAAAATATTTGACGTCATTATCTCCCACGACATATTTAAACATTATGCCACCAGTTTCTTTCGTTAAACCTTTTTTTAATCGAATTTGAAGGGAATTCAGTGAGTTATTTTGACATGACGGGACTGGAAATAATTTTTCAAGATCAATGTTCTATTTGATGTACATCTAGACCAATAACATGCATGCAAAATTTAGGATTATTTACACACTCCGTTTTTCCAGACTGATTATTCAAATTATGAAAAATTATCCAAAATTGAAAAGCGTTGCAATGCTTTTCACTCAAATCGGGCTAAAATAGTACACAAATACGATTTTCAATTTATTCTTTCTGTTTTAACTGCCCCAGTTGATCTATGTAGAAAATTAAATTTTTTATCATTTAAGGTTTTAGGATCTTAAAAGATTTACGAAAAAAAGATAAAACCATTCCTGATAAGGTTTTATAACCGTAACATTTTTTTCTCAAGATTTTAGTAGTTAACGAAGACCACTCTGAAATTATTCAGACAATAGGGCAATCTGAACAGAACCCTTACTTTCCTCAGACATGACATGACTGGGTTCAAGCCGAAAGCGTTGGGGTGCAATTGATTCTAATTCTTTAGGAGAAGAATTTTTAAAGCACTATGTCTTCCGTTCTAATCATTTTCTTTGAATATATGATTTGATATGTATTATGACAATTGTATTTTCTTGATATGTATATATTCGGGAAATAAATATATTTAAACTTTTTGCATTGGGAACACCAATTAACATCTTACCAACCAAATGACCGATTAATAGTGATTTTGCTGATCTTTATTTACAGATATTGATGAGTGCGAGTTACATCCGTGCCAGAATAACAACACGTGCATTAACAAACCCGGAAACTATACATGTGATTGCGATAGTGGATTTGTGGGAGATCATTGTGAGATAGGTGTGAAAGATTTTTTTTATCCAGATATAAAGTTAACTTAGCGGAATGAATTGATAACTAGATCTTTTTAAATGTGACGTCGTGATATGCTATTGAAAATTGTCGAAAGAAAGTTTTTATTTTCATCGTGAAATATTTTTTCGAATAAAGACAAAGGTTCATATATGAATGCATTGAAAGTTTTTTTGTGTCCAACTTTATTTGTCTTTCAATGAAAACGCTGTATTTCTTAAAAATGCTGTGCGTCAGTTTCATAGAAAAACAAAAGTCGATACTCTATCGAATTCCGTTCATAGTCGATTTCTATTTTTCAAAGTACTTCATTGAACCGCATAGTGACGTAAAAAGTGAATAATTATGTGTTAGTATTCATCCGTTACTGTCCTACAGAAATAAGAATCATTCTTAACTCATTTTATTGAATGAATGTTGTCCTCTCTATACATGATTTTATATTTATTAAGGATTCTTTTTCTCGTGTTTATGTATTTGTATGCAAAATCAAGGGGATCATACCATGCTCGAGCATCCTCAAAATTCTGATGCCGCGAACACATTTTCAATCGGTATTTTGAACAAAAACGAGACATGTAAACCAATTAGAATAGATTTGAATTTAATTTCTTTCTTGCAAAGAATATGTACTTACCTTCAGTTTATTATTCCAAATGCCTTGACGCAAGTCTTCGCCAGTTTTCTCCAATTGATCCCATTATGAACGTAGACTGCTATTTGTGTAATTGATTCTTCAATAAATTCACTAATAGTTGTGTGAAACTTTCAATATTCTTTGCAAAATAAATTAAATTATAATATATTCTGATTGCTTTACATGACTCGTTTTTGTTCAAAATAACGGTTGAAAAAGTGTTCGCGGTATCAGAATTTTGAGGATGCGTGCGCATGGTATGACCCCCTTGATAATGAGATAATCAAATAAACTTGAAACTTGAAAACTTGAAACAACAACCCATATGACCCATGAAAATGTTTATCGGTAACGTTCATTTTTTTAAAGATTGGGGGCAGTGATTTTTTATAAATACGATCGTTTTCATAGTTAATCCTAAACATTTTTCACTATCATTTATTTTTCAAATGCTAATTATAATAGTAAATTTTTTTTTTTAAATATGTTACTATTTTAGATAGCAAGACTGTCTTTTCAGCAAGAAAAATCAGAATATTGTCACTTTAACATGATGTTATCCTCCTAAACGCAATATACAATTAATAATATTTGATACTTTAGTTCTATTTTATATACCTGAAATTTGCGGAAATACTCTATGATGACATAAATTTTATTGTCTCTTTATATTTTTTTCCAAAGTTCTGCCGAAATGTACGCATCTATGCAGTTTAGATGCTGTTATTACTCAAACAGCTGTCAACAGTCCGCAAGCCAGTATTTGCCAAAACAACGCGAAGCATACACCAAGTGAGGCATTACCAATGACATGTTGTAATATTGGAGCAGTCGACTCGTGGCAGAAAGGATTAAAGGTTGAAAAAACTTTTGATTATTTTTCCTACGGTAAACAAATAAACGTTTGTATGGAAAAGCCATATATATAAATGTCCTCCGTACATTTTAGACGCCATACTTTTGAAAATATTGTTTTCAGAAAATAGAATTTGGCTGTCTGTGTCAATTATACAAGTAAATTTCCTGACATGAATAAATTTTTTTTCGGTAGAAAGGGCTTTTCTTTGTTCATTAGCCTACACATCACTAGGTTTCCATTAATTTGCAAACTCCCCTTACTTTTCAGTGGTTTATAATTGGTGTTCATCAACACTTCTTAACTTCCTGATGTTTGATTTGTAACACCATGTTCAAAGTCTTCCTTATTACCATTTATTTTAAAATAACATACATGTATGATATTATCTGACAATTCATACAAAACAGTTTTTGCTATCATAATTAAAAAAGGGTTTGTAACTTTTATTATAATGTTAATAGGTAAGTGTATAATGGCCTTGTTAATGGACTGAAGAATGTCAAATTAGAATGATCAGGCTTATATGACAGTCTAAAGCCCAACAAGGCCATTATGAGAACAAATAATCATTGACAATTTCATTAACTAAGAACACATATTCTAATAAAAGTAAAGTACTGAACTAAACAAAATTTATGTTAAATTCTGTTGTTCTTAAAATATCTCGGCGGCTCTTTTTGCAATGCAAAAGGAAAGCAGATTCATAATGGCTGAGCTGGAGAGCCAGTCAAAATCCTCCAATCTCATAATCGCCGAGTTTTCTCATAAGGGCCGTACATTTTGCATAATGGCCTTGTTTTATAATGGTCATAATGTCATGTTGAACTTCATATTGGCCTAACATTTGAAGTAAAAACATGCCTTTATTTAAAAGCTAATTAATAATATCAGGTAATGGACCATTGTGAGAACGGAACGCTTCCTACGCACACCCCCGTCGCCTCCTTCATCAACGGATCAGTACAAATCGGGTCTGCAGGTGTATTTCTGGAATATGAGCCTGGGATGTGTAAAGAAGGGTTTTTGGTAAGATCCTTCAAATTTACCTATTTTCAGTCCCGTATACAACTAAAATAATATGAAATACAAACACGTTTGAGTACAAGTGTAATTTGTGATAACGGAAAAAAACATGTCAAGATTTGTTTTGTTGCACTTTGATTGCTTGTCTGTGTAATTTTCTATTTTGTTTTGTCATTCCATCTTATGAACTTTATTTACCTTGATAACTAGCCAGTACTATCCAGCTTCTCCGCAAGTGACTATTTACTTATCAAACAAAATATCTGAAACGGCGGAGGAATACAATCTCCGAAACCGGTAAGCACAGAAAAAACTGAAACATAAATTCAAATGTATAGAAAAAAAACACATGAAATTGTATTTAACTGAACTATCGTCCTAACCACTCCTTTTTTATTTTTAGATGATATACCAGGACTGCGACAACCCACCAACACTTCTTAATAAAAACGGAACCAATGGATATGATCCGAACTCTTACTACACATTTTTTTGAAATAAATTCACTTGTTGAAATTCTATTTTAGAAAATACAATCACCCGGTACAAACACGTAGAATGACTATGTTATTTGATCAATTTCCGGTATTCCATGCATGCGTGAGAGCGACGTAAATGTTATACGTGAGCGTTAAACTGAAAAGTGATGCGAATTTTTTCATGGACTCACTATATTACATACATCCGTCAAGCATGGGTAAAAAGCAAAATATTTCGTTTTTCCGTTTAAAATTTCACAAGAATTTATGTTTATTTTTGTTCTTGTAGTTTTGTTTGCGAGTATGGTTATGATAGTACTGTTGTATATACAAGATTCCACTTTAAAATTATTTGTTCAAACGAAAGTAACATTCAAACTCTTCTTCACTGATTTCCATCTCTTGAACTAAGTGGTGTACAGGTTCCTCATAATACAGGATATTTTCTTCTTAATTCTCTGACCTTTGGCTTGCATTTCATCTTGCTTCCTCCTCCGTGAATGTCGTCGGTGAGAGTGAAAAATAATTACAAGGAAGTGATCGACTTCGCGCTTGCGCTTCACGCTCACATGGCGTCTCGCACTAACGTCGAGCTAACGCCGATATTCCATACTGGCAATAGTAAATCGTTTGTTCAATCTTTTACGTTCTTGCTTTACGTTCGTGTTACACGTTCACATATAGATGGAATACCGGCCGAATTGAGTAAACGTATAACCTTGCTGGATACTTTTGTTTTATTGACTTATTGCACATGTATAAACAAGAGCACCGCTGGGCGGGGCATTATATGCCAGAAAGTACTTTAGCTGTAGGTTGATTAATGCTTGAATTATTGAGCGAAAACTGTTTCCAGTTTAAAGTTGATAGTAACCTTGATCTTTGACCTTGAGACCCCAAAATCAATAGGGGTCTTCTACCCAATATGGACAATCATCCTATGATGTTTGAATACTGTGGACCAAATTGAACTTAAGTTATGCTCCGGAAACCATTTTCAGTTTAAGGGTAATAGTGATCTTGACCTTTAACTTTGTGACCCCAAAATCAATAGGGGTCTTCTACCCAATATGGACAATCATCCTATAAAGTTTTAAAACTGTGGGCCAAATGGAACTTAAAATATGCTCCGGAAACCATTTTCAGTTTTAAGCTAATAGTGGCCTTGACGTTTGACTTTGTGACCCCAAAATCAATAGGGGTATTTTACTCAATATGGACAATCATCCTATGAAGTTTCAATACAGTGGGTCAAATGGAACTTAAGCTATGCTCCAGAAACCATTTTCAGTATTTAGCTAATAATGACCTTGATCTTTGACCTCAAAATCAATAGGGTTCTTCTGCCCAATATGGGCAATCATCCTATGAAGTTTGAAAACTGTGGGCCAAATGGAACTTAAGTTATGCTCCGGAAACCATTTTCAATTTTACGGTAATAGTGACCTTGACCTTTGACCTTGTGACCCCAAAATCAATAGGGGTCTTCTACCCAATATTGGCAATCATCCTATGAAGTTTGAAAACTGTGGGCCAAATGAAACTTAAGTTATGCTCCGGAAACCAAATTGCTAACGAACGGACGGACGTACGGACAGACGGACGCCAGGGGGTATAACATAATATGTCTGAAATTCTTTCGGGCATATAAAAAGAAGTTTAACTTAAAGCCATACAGTTATTTGTTTCAGTAGAACTAAAAATTATATCACATAAAGCTGTGTCGTGCATGTCATAATTCGAATTAACGAGTTTAGTAAATTTAGTATTGTACCTACACGAATATAATTATCTATTATCAAATATCTAAAAACAAAAAGAAGGTTTATAGTTTAGAAAATATTTTCTTTTCTATTCACACGCAATGATATAATAAGAGTTTAATAAAAGCGAGATTACACTAGTGAAATAACAATACGTACAACATGACGTCATTTCCGTTATACAAACATCCATGAGCATAATATGAAACTCTTATTCAAACAAAAATACCTTTTAAAACTGTAAACCTTCTTGTTTTAAATATGTGATAATAGATTTCTATATTTGTGTAGGTTCAATACCAAATTTGCTGAGCTCGTAGAATTAAATAAATAGCATGCACACCACAGGTTTGCATAATATTTTCATAATATGATGTTTTATAATTAGCTATAAAAAGTTTTTAACAAACATTCATTCAAAATTGTCTATGGTTATGACAATGTGTTTATTCGTAATATCAGGCATCAAGTCCAAAATATAATCAGGTATTCAATTTAACAAAAAGTGATGTACTCGTAAATATATAAACATATGAGTTATTTACAAGTAAGTAGTATGTTGATATAAAGGTGAAATTAAATTAAACATACATACCTATATAGGGTAATTCAATACCTAAACAACGGTGTATAAATGTAGAAGTGTAAGACATACAATTTGCCATTAAAATACACGCAGTCATTGAGCACTGTATTAGAAATGGTTGGTAGAAGCGTCGACAAAAAAGACGAAATACGGGCTTACATCAAAGCTCGCTCAAAACTGGGTTACGCTTTGAAGCAGTTGATGATTAAACTCTCTTCTGCTCATGGGCCTTCTTGTGTGTCTTATGACACAGTTAGGCGATGGAAAAAGAAATGAAATTTGAGTCTGGGGTAGAGTGCATCAAAAATGCACCAAAATCAGGTAGGCCAAAATCTGCATCTCGTAACGAAATAGTTTCCAAAATAAAGGATATCATTGAAGGAGATGCCAGATTTACAGTTCGTGACATTGCACGAAATGTAGGCATATCACTATCAACGGTTCACTTTATTTTGAAAAAGCATTTGAAAGTCAGAAAGATTTCTGCTAGATAGGTGCCACATCTGTTGACCGATGAGCAAAAGAGGCAACGGTTAAGGTGGCCAAAAAGCTGCTTCAAATGTTTCCAAAATATGACAAAAAACAGTTTGCCAATGTCGTCACAGGTGATGAAACTTGGGTCCATTATTTTGAGCCCGTCAGAAAAGTTAGCAACAAAATCTGGGGTACTAAACACAACAAAAGCCCAATAATTCCCAAACGGTCTTTGAGTGCAAAGTTGGTTTGAGTGCAAAGTTTGGTTTTGAATGCAATTTTCTTCTCTGGTGAAGGGAGTCGCAATAAAAGTGCCGGTGAAAAAGGGCAAAAGTATCACTGGGAAGTACTGCAAAGACGTAGTACTTAAGAAACTGAAAAAGTATTATCAGAAACGACACCTTGTCACTGGTTTAAAGCACATCCGTTTTCTACATGACAATGCCCCCGCTCATATTCCGCAATAGTTTCGGCGTTTTTTAAAAAAGAAAAAGTTTTGCTTCACCCCCGTATTCTCCAGACTTTGCCCCATGTGATTTCTTTTTGTTTCCGAAATTGGAATCTTTCCTTGCTGGGCGGAAATACAAGTCCCGACAGACACTTGGATCTGCCATTCATCAGTACCTTATTACTGTGCCCAAATCAGCGTACCTTGACGCCTTCAAGAAGTGGATACATCGGCTGAAACTTTGCATTTCTAGCCACGGAGAGTACTTCGAACACTTTTTAGCTAACTTGAAATTTGAAGTCTCCAGATAGAAATAAGTAATACATTTCGAACATCCCTCGTATGATCCATATCTGAGGTTTAAAATAGTTAATATCCAACCCAATTTATTAATTAAACATAAAGACAGGTTTACAACATAAAAAAATTCGTTTCAACAAATAACTAAAATGCATGTCATATTAACATATAAACAATTCAACACACATGTATAACTTCTTTAGTTTACGTGTAGTTTCCTCGAGTTATTTGCTTTATATATAGATTTGTCATTTTTTTAATGACGTCTTTTATTTTCTCTGTCATAATTGCGTTAAGGTAGTCTAACAGTAATGCTTTCCCGCCAAAAAACATCGGCCAATATCGTAAAAAATCGGTCAATTCCGAAAGTTATTTTTCACGATCTTATGAATTCAATATTTTTAACCGTTTATAACCGGAATTTAATACAAAGTGATAAGGATTGGTAATTGTTAGTAATCTTATGCCCAAGAAATTTGATAAAATTACGTTCCAGAAATAACCGATTTGCTACGATATTGGCCAATGTCAGATATTTTTGGCGGAAAAGCATTACAGTGAGATTACTTTAAAGCGGCTGTTTACAATAACATTCCAACAACATACACATTACATCTAAAACAAAATGAAGGAAACCTAAATTCTGTTTCAATGTTTAAGTGTCTTCCTGATTCAATTTTTAAGTCATGGCCACTACATCTAAATTTGCATAAATAAAGCATACTCGTTGACAGATAACATTCATCAGAAATAGATGTTCTTTACTTCCTGTAACTTATAGCTTTTGGCGATGAATTGATACAAATTTCATTTATGTCTGTTTGTAAATTATTGTATATGCATTAAACCGCTTAGACTGGCTGTTAAATTTAGTTTTATCAGTATCATCTAAGATCAACTATGATGTAAAAATACATCTTTTGAAATACTTAGAAGTGAACTTCCCAGTAATGGTATTTTTTAATTGATTTGGTCCATTTCTGTGTAAGGATGTAGACAGCTTTACCATTGACTCATCACAGGCGTTAATACATCCGTGAAATATAACCGATAACAATTTTGGCAAGCAAATTTACCTAATTCTTCAAAATTGTTTCGTTATTTGCCATAAATTGTATAAATCACCTTGAGGCAATTTTGTCAGATTCACGTTTCACATATTCTCTAACTCTTTCGGCGGGTGAAAAGGGGAGATTTTAGAAATTAGTCATTCAAGTGCCTTGTATGGTATGTACCGGAATACGATATTTAATGTGGTACCCCAAAACCTTTTTAGTCGCACTTTTGATCACTCTTTTAGGGACAGGGGACCTAAAATTGAACAATTAGTGTGACCAGAAACACAATTCCAAATATTTCAAAATCTGTTTCACAGGAAATTACCAGTTGAACAGCATTATTCAAGGATATATGATATACATTGAAGAAAATAATAGTTTGCATGCATTGCTCCTAAACATAATGACTTACAGCAATTTATATTTACCCCCACCAAACAAAAATCACATC